ATTGCTGATAAATACTAACTGAATAAGATGAAATATGTTTCTTATAATAAGATAGAAGTAAAAACGAGAATTTTCATGATTTATTGTTTACTCGTCAATAGAACTACGAAAGCCATATATTCGTTTTGCTGTTCAGTTCCACACATTCTTTTATTTTGTTTGAAAGCAAATAAAAACTTGCCAAATAAGATTTTGACAGTTTTCCATGTTATAAATGCACAACAATGTCGCTTTCTCGTTAACATATTATTTGTTCACCTATTTAAATTTTGTTTGGTTGTAGTTATCGACATAATACTTAAAAATGTCACAATCGTACGATTTGTCCATAACGTCTTAGTAAAAAAGTGAAGAATGACTAGAATAAATACAAATAAACAATAAAAGATTCGGGCTTTGTAATATGATAGTTTTGATCTCCAAAAGTCGATATAGAGCGGTTCCTAAAACGTCAGCCCCCTATTACTTGCTATCAACAAGATAGGAGTAAATTCCAGCCGTTGAAAGGTTGGATTGGGTGTTTGTTGTTTTTATTTATGCTGTAAAAGTTAATGGTAGGTGGCAACAGAATTTAAGATAGGTTCTCCAAATTTCTAGTGAATGACTATGGTCGATGGAATCAACTCAGTGGCCCTTAGTACCTATCACATAAAAAATGGTTGGGAAATAAATACTAAAGTAAGAAGTCTTGCAAGTTTTCATATGTAGTCGATATAACCATATAGATTGATATCTTTATAAGAATGAAAAATATAAAACAGTGCAAATCTGTAACAAATTCTACTGTTCTTCTCACAGAGTTCATTATAATTACTTAGGACAAAACCTGGCTTATTGCTGTAACAAATTGAGAAATAATCAACATAATCTTAGTATTTATGTAAATTTTATTATTTTCTGACTAATTTTTGACAAATCCCAAAGTCTTACATGTAGTCAATAAAACCATGAGGATCAAAGCTTCTAATTAAAATGATCATTCTTCCACATATTACTTACTTACCTGCTTACGCCTGTTACTTCCATAGGCCGCCGACCAGCATTCTCAAATCCACTCTGTCCTGAGCCTCCTTTTCTAGTTCTATCCAATTTTTGTTCATTTTTCTCATGTCTATCTCCATTTCTCAACCTAATGTGTTCTTTGGTCTTCCTCTTTTTCTCTGGCCTTGAGAGTTCTATGTGAGGGCTTGTCTTGTGGTGCAGTTGGATGCTTTCCTCAATGTGTGTCCTATCCACTTCCAGCGCTTCTTCCTGACCTCTTCCTCCGATAGGATCTGGTTCGTTCTCTCCCACAGTAGGTTGTTGCTGATAGGGTCTGACCAACGGATCCGAAGTATTTTACGTAGACAACTGTTAATAAACACTTGTATCTTCTGGATGATGGCTTTCGTAGTTCTCCAGGTTTCCGCCCCATACAGTAGAATTGTTTTGAAATTTGTATTGAAAATTCTGACCTTGGTGTTGGTTGACAATTGTTTTGAGTTCTAGATGTTCCTCAGTTGTAAATATGCTGCTCTTGTTTTGCCGATCCGCGCCTTCACATCTGCATTATATCCACCGTGTTCATCGATGATGCTACCCAGATATGTAAAGGTTTTTACATCTTCCAAATCTTCTCCGTCCAGTGTGATTCGGTTGTTGCGTGCTGTACTGTTTCGGCGAATCTTGCTTTTCCCTTTGTGGATGTTGAATTGTTCCCACATATTGTCAGTTGATTTAACATGACCAATTTCATTTATGATCTTTGAAATAAAACATGCCAAAAAATTTACAAAATAAAACTTTTTACGAATTTAATAAATGAGAAAAAAAATCAATATAAAGATCTCATTTTTTGTTTTCTCCAGAAAATCCTACTTAATGATTATTAAACATGTTGAATATGTTGAATAATAGACTAATTGTAAAATCATTATAACTCCGCCTGGAGACCCTCTGGAGATACTGCCGGTCCCAAGCTCGGATAAAGGAAGAGGGTCGGGCATGAGGTTAACGACCCCATCCTGTAGAAAACTAACTCGGTGAAAAAAACGCTAAGCAGAAAAAATTATTCAAACCATTTAAAAATCATTGTATAAACTGTTACATACTAATATTTGGTAAACTATCCTATCAACAATACCAACAATAAATGTTAAAGGAAAAAACATCCTGATAAACAAAGAAAAAAAGATTTATTAGATCACATGAATGTACATTAATAAACATAGAAATTATTAAATGTTTTTTTCTCTTTTTGATATTATCTTTACACAACTTTATTGAATATTTTCTTTTAATTGATTGGTTATTTTAATCATTCAGTAGGAGGGTTATTATCATTAAATAACCTTGAATATGAGTAAAGAAATACTGATCACATTTATATTAAATAAATTTATAATACTTATGTTTTATACAAATTCTTATAATACATATTGGTAAACTATTGCACTTTTGGTTATATCATAAGAGAAAGCTGAAATCACTGAGATAATTGAGGTAATTTTTGTTCGTCAATGTTACTTAACTTTCATTTGACTGTTTACTTATTTGTTTGTTTTTTCTGTTTAACATAATGTCGTAAGACTCAGTTGTTAATTTTATTTCAATTTAATGTATATGCATAGAAACTAATTTAAAAAATTGCCTCAATTTTTAAGTTAAATGGTTTTCAATAAAACGAGAATAATCATTATAACGGATTAATATGAATGCGACTTATTTCTCGTATTGACTTCAACTGTTTACAAATTGTTCATTAATTGATTATATGGATATTAGATAAAACAAAACCGAAAAGTATATGAGAGAACATTTTTCAGGAATTAAAAATCACTGTCATTAGTCACTTATCGACATTAATGAACGGATTGATCAGTGTGGCAAAAATAACATCGTATTAATCGAATTAAAAATAGAGAACATGGAGTAGGATATTAAGTTGCTAGTTATTGGGAAAAAATATAGTGACTAGGGAAATGAAAAATTGACAATAGAATCTCAGTGAATTTCTACATCTCGTTTTATGTTTAGGCAGTAAAAGTAGATCCTCCGAAGATCAACAGGTGTGAACTCATACACTTAGTGATTATTATGGAGGATTCTCAGGTTTTAATGTTGTATCTACCGTCAAGATATTGGCTGAATATCTTTCTAGAAGCTTTTAACTTTCGTGTACACATTAAAATGTCCACGCTGGTAAGGAAAATATAATGAAATCATGAAATCCTACATAATTTTTCAACGACCTGTGCTGTCAATTTACTTAGCATAAATGAATTTATTTTAAAATACACAAAACTCTCATGAAAATCAGGCTAGACGTTAAGCATTGTTTGGAATAAAGTCATCAAGTTTTTAAAGTAAATTTGACCAACTTTGGCAAGTCGTGATCGAAGGAGTAAATAAATGCTAAGTGTATGTTAGTAAATGATCAGCGATATCAGATTATATTCATTTGAAATCAGATTGCTAAAAAAATCGGCTGTCAATTCAGTTTTATGAAAGATTCAACGTTCATCACGAGGTCTGTAGGTTCTGCAGTAGAAAGTGTATAGGGTAATGAATATACATTACTTATGAGGACCTGAAGTAAGAGAACCTAGAATAAATGACTCGTCGGTTAATTCATGGTTTTCAGCATTTCCTTAACTAATTTTATTTCCCACTACGAGGTTTGAAACCACTGTGAATAATCTATCATATCATTCATCTATTTTGTACTGATCATCCAACTCACATCAACTCATGAACACAACTACATTAAAACGTATAACAATTTGACTCACAGTCATTTACAAAAAAGTTCATCGGTATTCCATCGAATAGTATTACATACAACAAATGTCACATGACTTCACTAAACATAAAATAATCATCTGAATATGAATGAACAACGTTTAAGTGTAGTTTTTGAAACCCTATGTTTTCCTTAACAATTCTGATATTAACTATTTTCTTCCTGAAGAAGTACGAATCAGAGAACACGACAAAAAAGACTGATTTTAAACTTTCACAGTAAAGTTTATGAAATACAGTCTTTATTAAACTGAGGGTCGTGACATTTGATGGACTACTACATCTATTCAACGTAGTAATGTTTAATTTGACCAGACGATAACAATGTACCAGTTCTAAAGTGTGCTATCCTTTCAATTTTTGACCAAAACGCACTAACGCATCTTCCGTTCACTACATCTTTAGTCAGGGCGGTTTTATTAGTATGAATAAACAAAAATCATCAAACAGTTACAGCCCTAAAACCTTATTACATATTGCCTTTTTTAAACGATACTTAAGCGTTTCACTATTGTTTATCTGATTATTAATTAGGCTTTCTTTGTTACATCCTGAATTCAAGTACAAATTTTCAGTGAATGAATACTGTAGACAAGTCCTTAATTAATCCGTTGTTTATTTAGAATAGTAACAAATTTTAATTGACAAGCAGATCTACATGATTTTTAAAAAAATCTATTTTTTTGGAACACAAACATTAATTTCAATATAGTCTCACATGATTTATGGAATGATATGGTTTAGAGAAACATTCACACAGATTTATTTAAAAAAAGAGAAATCGTGAGACGACAATTTATGATCGACCTTCGAGTGACCATAAAGTGACCTTCAGAATATCCACCTAATAACTAGGACCAAATAAGGGTGAGAAACCAGTGTGGGAATTAAAATTACGATTTACAGTTGATGATTAAGGTTAGGCATTAGATTTAGAGTTTTCATTACGAACTGACATGAGCTATAATGCTAAAGCTCTATTTAGCCAAAGTGATGAATGATTTTCGCGCCAAAATCTGAGACCTGTTATCCTATACCTGATTGGTTCGTCCATAAATTATAGTCTCGCCAGAGAAATATTTTTATCGGTAATTTTACGTTGGTGTTCTTTCTCTTTCTAGTTGAATTAGTCATTGTAGTGAGAGTATACTGGTATCTGAATCAGAGTATTCATCTTTAGCAGAATTTATCATCACAATTTGACTAGATACGTGTTTCATATGACACTTGTAAGTACAGTGAAAAAAATAAATGAAACATTTTGCATAAACGTTGTAATATGTTCTATTCATAAGCTTTAAAGTGCTTGAATATTTGGCTTTATTTTTCATTTCAGAAATTAAACTATAATATTTATATGAATGAAACATTGGTGACAACCCAGTCTATTCATCTAACTATGGTCTAAAGTAAAATATGTCCTATTTCTAAAGAAAGTAGAAATGAATTTTCCGACTGAATACAGTCTGATAATATGAACACAACAAGATCTTTTTCAAATGAGTCCGGTTGTTCAACATTGAATAAATCAGATTATGAGTTGTTTAACTGAGTAGTTAATTAGTCCATATAAAGGATAGATTTATAAGAAACTTAGAATTGAATAATATGAAATTAATAAAGGATTCAGTTAAATAGGTTTCTTAAAGCTTATATTCACTTTTCAGATAATTTTCACCATAGACGGAAAATCAATAAAGTTCAAGCATCATTGAGCAGCTATTTTATCTTTATTTAGAACTTATTACAAGTGCACTACTGTGTTCCAAGAAGGAATCGAACCCACAATATCAGAGATGCGTAATGAAAATGATATTGTAAAATTGTTAAGTACGATTGTCACCATTGTCATTAGTGAGTTACTGTATCATTTCGGATATGTGTGACTCCATAAATCATGATTTTTAAAAAACTAGCTTGTAAAAGTGGAATGACGTTTATTATTCAGATGTGGTGCTAATGGATACTTGATGAGTTTGAATATGGATTTACACTAAGCTCGAAGTCAGTTGGAGAGTCATTCACATATGAACTATATAATTTAAAATTGGTTCCTAGATAGCATTTTGCAGTAGTAATTCTTTAGGCTCCTGAGTTAAACTTCTTGAAGCAAGTATATTAGGGTAAATAAACTAGGACGAAACATATGTCCAGTTCTTGCGTGTTTACAGAAGTTCTTTCGTCAGGATTTGATGTAGGTAATTTAATCAACATAAACGGTGTTCATTGTCTTCAGTCTCTATTAACCGATGTTTTCTAAGTTTATTATAATAAATAATAATTTATATTCCTTAGTAATATGACTAAATCCATCTCACGTGGAAAATGTATTATTAATTAAGTGGGATCCTCGAATACTGATCACCATTAAACATGTAAATTAATCAGTTTTCCTTGACTTAATAAAAATGATGTAAAAGTATTGCGTTTACAGTATGTACTATTCAAACAAGCAACAACTACCTGTTCAAACGCTTACCTTATGCAAACACTAACAGTCTTATCTTAATAAATATCCACAAAAGACAAGTACATTAAAATATATGGCTTTCTCATGTACTTTAAAAGTTTTGTTATCAAATTCATCTCGATATTTCACTAACAAACAATATATAATAAGAACTTGGAAATATATTTCTACATTTGCTACACACTGAAATAATAGAGGTTTCCGGTCAAATGATTATGGAGATGTTGTGTTCTCTAAAATTCATGGTTGAATTGTCGGTTCTGAGCAACATCAAATGAGATTTCAAAAATATAATTATTAATGTAAAGGTCAGACTTGATAATTCTAGATAAATTAAGTATTAGATAGAATGAAAGTAAAAAAAGTGATATATTTGTGATCTTCCAATGAGTAGAAATCAGAATTTCTGACGTTTCGTGACTAACTCCAAGCCAGCTCTTCAGAGTAAATAAATAACTAAATCATTATGTGTTGATTTAGTTGGATTATTTATTTACTTACTCTGAATAGGTGGTATATGTTTAGTCACGAAAGTTCATACGTTCCCATTTCTACTCATTAATTTATCATAAATATATCATTATTTTATTTGCTAAAATATGTTAGAAAAACGTTGAGTCAATCCATTTTAATGACCTATTTTTTGATGGATTGCATTCGAAAACTTTGCTGTCTTCAAGTATCTTTCCATTCTGATTGACTGTTTTGTTGGTTTAATCACTGATCACGTTAATAAATAAAAGTTTCCTTATACACCGATAAAATGAATCTTTGTCGATAGGCTTACTGACTGAAGACTAACCTGAATATTGTATGAGATCAAAGTTTTGGGTATGCGGTATTATTTAATAACAAATCTCAAAAATCTCTTCAATGTTTAATCAGTCCATGTCAGTTTAATTTACAGATAATAGTCAAATAACTATCTGTAACAAATAAATTCGTGAGTTTTGTTTGCCTAAATTTCCATACTTAGAAACTTGGCATGATGAACGTTTGCAATAATGTAGTGTTTTAAAAATATGGTAAAACTGATTTCTTAATTCCTTGAGTACTTATTTCCTGTATCGACAAATTAACCTAGAGATCCCCTACTAAAAGTTCTATGTAATGAGTATTAGAAGTAGTAGGAAGCTTTTAGTAAAGTTTTTGTTCCTCTGATACCCGTTTGAAACTTTGAAGACATTCAAGAGCATCTATTTTAGCATCAATATAAGCCCATCAAAACAAGGAAAATGCGTAGCGTTATTAATTGCATTACAATTCGTATTTGATTCGACACAGAAATAACAACTAAGTTAGTAAATATTATTTTTTGAAATAATAATCCTTGAAATGAATTTTCGTAAGTTGTAGTCGAAATTCAATAAATTCGAAGTTAACCCCGTAGAAAGTAAGATTGTAATTCATTAGTAATACTGATTAAAGATCACACTATTTTATACATAGCCTAAATCTAAAAATGTAAATCACTGGATCTTTAATGAATGACCAAGTAGTATTGTGTTAGCTTCAGGATCTGTAAATCCTAAACACAATCTATTATGAGCTACTACCATGATATTACAATCAACCTAGAAATAAATATAAAAAGCTATCTGTTGTTCAGCATTGATGTAAACTAGCGATTGTTTGTATAACAAAGCCTTAAAAAAATATTTTTTCAAAAATACATTGTGTTAACGTTAGACATGAACACCGTTAGATGCCGGCTCAGTGGTCTAAAGGTTAAGTGTTCGCTCGCGGAGCGGGATCGTAGATCCGCACTGCTGAGGTGTCCCATACTAGGATGAAATGTCCGTTCAGTACTCCCAGGTTTTCCGTAGTGGTCTAGCTCCAATTGACTCACGATTTCAATTATTGAAGTACTAAACATCTCAATGACTTTTTAACACAGGTACATAAATTTTACATGAATAAGTTTTATTTTAACAATCACATGTAAAAATACACTGGATACTCCTCAAGTATCATCAGTGAAATGATGACGTGTAAACAACTTTACTTAATATAGAATTGCTGAAAAATTAACATTAAACTTAATTTATTATGTTTAAAACCTCTTAAGTAGATTAGTGTTAAATTAGGTTAATTCATAATATCACTAAACATTAGGTGAGTCAAATGTAAATTAAAGAAAAATTAAAATTTTTGGTGAATAATTTATATCAGAAGGGGTTTTGTGTATATTATAGTAATTTCATTAGTTGACATCATGAGTCAATTGAAGCTAGACCACCACGGAAAACCTGGAAGCACTGGACAGCCGTTTCATCCTAGTATGGGATTACTCAGCAGCACACATCCACCCCGCGGGGTCCGAACCCAGGAAAAAATAATGAGTCTTTCATATGTAGTTACATGAATTCATTATATTTCACTTGTTACATTCTGATAATGATAATTTCCATCTTTCCCGAATTAATAGCAATTGGAGAAATATTACCAATGAAATAAATGGATAACAGTTATACATTCTTAATGTGCATCAATATGAACGATTGATTATTGACTTTATAATGCTTTTTCTATGGTTTATTATCAAGGATTACGTTTGTCTTCATAAATCTGTGAATTTAAGAGATTTAGTTTTTATGAAATTCCTATAAATCGTCACATAATGCATGTATAATTTTTGCTTAAAACTGTCATATTTAAAATGTCATCGAAATAGTTAATCATCTTTCTGTCATAGTCACAAGTAAACAATGATGAACACTGTATGTACGTGTTGAATGGTAAATATATGACCAGTGAATTAACTTGAAATCACCATGAAATATGATTATTGTACTCTAAATAGTAAGAAAAAAGAGATTTTAAGTGTTAACTGTAAAAGCTGAAGCCTAACGATAGATTCATTAATAAAATGTATACTGATAGTTTTTTTCTTCTTGGAATCATCATCTTAGAATTTCATTTATTGTTATTGATAATGCTACAGTTGTTGTCATTGCCAGTATAATGATATCTAAATTGAATATATTAGAATATGATGTATGGTAACCAATTCTATACTAATAACTTTTCATAGTAATCAACCGTGATGTTGACCTCTTGCATTAGTTCTTTTTGTTTCTGTCATGTCAGTCCTTTTGCTATCAGAATGTTAATATTGACTGAAACTACGTTAACTCTAGGTCATCTTCAGTCGATAGCGAGTACGTTAGTTAGGTAGGTTAAAAGAAGAGTTATTTCATGATCTTTCAATCATGGATCTCGAAACCTGTATTGCTAAAGAAACTCTGGAAGATGTAGAATCCTTCACATACCTGGGAAGCATCATCGATGAACAAGGAGGATCAGTTGCATACGTAAAGGCGAGAATCGACAAAGCAACGACAGCATTCCTACAATTGAAGAACATGTGGAACTCAAAACAACTTTCAACCAATATCAAAGTCAGAATCTTCAATACTAATATCAAGGCAGTTCTACTGTACGGAGCTGAAACTTGGAAAACTACTACAACCACCATCATGAAGGTAAATGTATTTATAAATAGTTGTCTAAGCAAGATACTCAACATCCATTGGCCGGATACCATCAGCAACAGCCTTCTGTGGAGAGAACAAACCAGCTTCCAGCTGAAGAAATTAGGAAGACTATGGAAATGGATAGGACATACATTACGCAAATCATCAAACTGCATCACGAGACAAGCCCTAACTTGGAATCCTGAAGGGAAGCGGAAAAGAGGAAGGCCAAAGAACACATTACGTCGGGAAATAGAATCAGATATGAAAAGAATGAATAAAAACTGGAAAGAGCTGGAAAGGATTACCTATGACAGGGTTGGATGGCGAGTGCTGGTGGGCGGCCTACGCTCCACCACGAGCAGTAAGCGTAAGTAAGTAAACTATAGGTTAAACCATCAGTGATTTAGTGAGATTTTGAAATAAAATGCAAATCCATTTTTCTTGTAACTCTTGATATTCTTCCTTCATTCAAAATCATGTATAATTCAATGTGATAAATTTGTTTTTAACCCATAACATGACTGTGATTTATGTGACAAATTTTTTTTCTTATTGGTTAATACAATCTAATTCCCAACACGATCTGTCTATTCACTGATTGTACTGTAATAGAAATGTGCCAATCATACTCTTACAATAAAAGTATGTGGTAAATAATTAGTATTGTGGCTTTAGACAAAAAAGAATCCATGGAAAAGAAAACACACAAGTATTTACATACATACATAGATATATATTATGTAAATATAACTTTTATTTATTCATTTATTTGTACATATGAATATCTGTACAACAGAACGTTAAGTGAAGTCCAATCATAGAATGATTGAAATTAAAGCCATGAGTAATTATCAATTCTGTTGTCAGTTTTATTTTTACTTTTTTATATTTTTTTACCATAGTGATATCAGGAAAATAATCGGCAAACGTTAGAGGATTTTTATGAAAACATTTTTCTACAAATTGTACTACAGAATATAAGAATGTGCTCGTACGTACGTGAAAACAATCTATCTATAATATTTATGAATTAATAATGATAGTAATAACAGTAATCATTTAGTGTGATATATAAACGATATTCATTATATAATATTTTCATCCACCTTACTTGATGTAACAAACACCCAATAAACAACGTCTTCATTATATATATATATATATATATATATATATATGCATCAACTTGGATAATGAATAATGGAATATTTCACTATTTCATGATTATACAATTACCATGCATTATACCTTTAACTGAAACGAATTCATCCATACATGCGCAAATGCACACATGCATGTACATGAGAGAAACTATTGTTTAACCAATAGTATAATACACTGTGCGTAGAATGATAACTTGTATGGTACATAATTAACAAAGTATATATATATCCGTGAGAGAGAGAAAACACTAATAATATAACAAAATTACTACCTGTTATTCATACATATAAATTCATCATTGTAATCATCATACAGTCTCTTAAATTGATCTCCGAAAAAGTATCTCACCTTGATGTAAGTTACATAATCGTTTTTATTATAGTATAGTACCTAAATGTAAAATGATTGTGTTTACTGAATTTTGTTTTATTTTCTGCTTCTTATTTGTTATTCTTATCCATACGTGAAATTATCTCGGCCCCATTTCGATCTTCATTATTTATTATTTAAAAAAAATTAAATTGTCCATAACTCGTTCAAATCAACACAAACATAAACACACACACACACGCAAACACATTCACATCACATTGCGTCATAGATTTTAAAGTACTGTGATTGTTTTAAAATGCATACAAAATGTCAAAATGAGATTCAACAACAACAAGCTTTAATAATTCAACTTCAAAAAGATTTAGTTGATAAGACTAAAAGAATATCAGAATTATCAGGTTTATTGGATAAATATCAAAGTGTATTTAATCAGTCACCATCTTTATCGACACCAGTAACAGTGATTAAAGGTCAAATACAACCACAACAATCAAGAGAACGACAATTGGGCTTGAATGATGTTGTGTTTGGATTTGGTGGCAATGATCAATCACATGTACATGATCCAACTGTACAAACGAGAAAACGTGGTATCGGTATATCAGCTGAACCGCAAAATGAAGATGAAATTCAAACGAAAGAACTTAAATCATATCCCAAGTCAGAGGAGTAAGTTTAAAAATTCAATATACAATGTATTTTTTGCAAAACAGTATCCATGCTAGTGATTTGTTTTAGAGCAATTTAATTTACTATTAAGCAGTTTGGTATGGATTTTTAAATTGATATGACTTATAATTTCTTTTTTGATCTTTGGAATGCTTACTGAGACGAAATCTAAAACTAGAGCCAAATTTTCGTCTGATAGCTTACAGATAATGTAATATTATGATGACAATTTAATCAGAATATAACTGCTTTTATTATCCTATACACACATGCCTATCTACCTCCTATTCTAAAACTAAAAAGTCATACAAGAGTAGACGTAATTTACTGATGTTCCAAATAGAAACGATAACATTTAAAATATTAGAGAAAAATGGACAAATTCAGCTCTTTTATTTTAACAAGCAATTTACCTGGAAATTATGCTGAAAAGATTCAAATGATTTGTTCTCTATTTTGAGGCCATAATAGCACGTTAGTATTACTGATGCAAATTTGTTGATTCATGTCAATTATTATGCAATAATGAAGACGCTAATTAACAGACGAAATTTTACTGTTTAATGGAAGTTGTGTTATTTCAAGAAGGTACATTTGTGGACTGTATGAATGATAGTAATCATACTGTTGAACCTTCAAAGTTCATTCTAATCAAGTCGAATAATCATAAGAAATAATGTTAAACAGGCTTTTACATAACAACCTAATAAATAACAGTTGAAAATACTGGTCTTATCCTCTTCTAGTTTAAAATCCACTACTTTAACAAGGACATGTGAAAAAGTGGAAGTTTAGTTGAAAAATAATCCTATAGAATTAGCCAGTTAGAAACATTTATTTTATCGGGAGATTCTTGGTGTTTAGTTGCAAACGATTAACCGGCACAATCTACACACCGTTTCCAACTAGATGGCATTGATAAATATATTTCAGCAGTCTGATAAATACACTTTCATCAAGTTGATAAGAACAAAAGAACACTTTAACCACTGATCAACAACTACCTATCTGAATTACCATCATCAGAAAAACAAACATTGGAAATAGTCACGATGAATTGCAAACTTTTATCAAACACTTTGTGATCCGAATAAATTCCGAAATATTAGATATTTTTATAATACATACATTTCAGTAAGAATATCAGTAATTTAACTCGGCAAAGAAAGAAACAAATTTTGATGAAAGAGTTTTATTTACGTTACAGTAAACTCATTATCTTTATTGAGAAATTAGTTGGTAAATACACAAAATTTCTTAAAACTCATTCTGCTATCCTACTGGCACAGTGAATGTATAGAATACATTAGTTACCGGGCAGTTTGATCTATCAAAACAATTTACCTTTACATTCAAATTTTCAATTGATTTCACATTATTTAACGAACTAGCTTGTTTAAGTTTTCCATTCAAAAAAGAGCTAAAGTAATGCAATTGTTTGAGCAAAAATTTAATCTTCCAACTAGCTGACTAGGAGGTTTATAATATTACAGATATGATTTTATCATAGACTAATATTTAATGAAGAATAATGAAGGAAATCTACATCAAGAACTGATGTAAGCTAGAAAATCATTGATGACAATGGATTATAAATAAAAGTTTAAACCTGTGTATGGAGCTCATCAGTAGTTGTAGGCCATGGCCTTTTCACAAATAGTCGTCAGGACCTACATATTTTCATACCACTGATCTAACACTCAGTGGTTCACATTTCCGATTTCAGTAGAGTAACGAATGTGTAGAAACGCCATTCGTTACTAGCCGTCACAACCGAAAATAGTTTTGTTTGACCTTGATTCGGCTAGCATTGGAGTCGAGGGTGTGCGCTTGATAGTATTTAGGAATCGTCAGATGGTTGCTTGTGACGTGACGGCAATATAGAGACAGTCCACTCAGGATGCATATAAGCCAATAAGATATTAATCAATTGCAGTGATAAACACCAGTGAGAAGATTTAAACAACCAGCATAAATTAATCAAACTTCACCTCATTGAACAAGCTGGTGGCTGTTTGAACTAAGCAACTAAATGAATAACATGATGGCGTTTGAAGCGAATAGTTGTGAGTTAGAGTGTCGTAGTGAATATCAAATATGAGATGCAGACACATCCATCTGACAACTTCTGAATAGGAAGAAACACGCGTCCTGGATTCCACTGCCGATCGCCATCCAATTCTGCTTATAACACATTTTTTTAAGATGTATTAAAATGGTCTATTTGTATGAACTGATTCAAATTTTATCTAGTTAGAATTAATTTAGAATATAGATTCGTTTATCTAACCACTCATTCTTTATATTACCAAAAGATGTGTGTTACGGGCGTTGATAAGATTCTGTGTATTAAGTGTTATCAAGTTACTGAGACGGGTGCTTTAAGATAATAACACGTATTGAATTGCCATTTCTTCCATTTGTGAATAAAAACTATCAGACCTTTAGCATCGTTAACACTGTGTTATTATAAAATATCAGAAATAATTGGAAACGCAAAGTAACATATCAGACTTTTTTCAATCAGACTGAGGTCATATTGGGTCAAAAAGATCAATATGATCGACATGTCTATATGTGCCATTTATCATAAATGAAAATAAGGTATCAGCTGATTATTGTTAGATTGTAAGATACATTCAAATGAATATCACCATTATCACAAATATGAATACACCATGTAAATGGTTATGTAACAAGAAATAAGGACTAGTTTTATATTTTATTTACTTATCACGTGAATCATTATTCGTAAAGCAATAGGAAAAGTCAATCTTACTAATAATAAATAAACAATATTTTAATTTGACACAATAAATTGACTACCATTCTGATTTGAATGGCTTGTTTATTTATTTGTTTATTTATTTATTTCTCTCCCTCCCTCCCTCTCTCTCTCTCAAAAAAAAATTTCAAATAACAGTCAAAACTTAATCGTTAATAGTTTCATTTTAGTTTTAATAAACTTTTGTACACAATCTATAATCAATAAGTAATAAATCACTAAATTATTATTATTATTTTTTTGTTGCAAAAACATTAATGATCTCATGAAAACATACACCATTTGTCCAATTTATTGATTTATAATAAAAATAAAATAAAAAATAATAATATGAATTAATTTCATTGGTTAATTATTGAAGTTGATTTTTATTATATTTTCATATGGAATAAACTATTAAATTATTAGTATCAGAAAGGGTTTCGTAAAGTCCCATTTTTTAGGATGAAACAGTTGTCCAGTGCTTTCAGGTTTTCTATGGTGATCTAACTTTAATTAACTCATGATCTCAACAATTAAATCATTGAAAATTATGGAATAATAAATAGATGCTCCTTTTTTATGTACTTCAAGACTTCTCAGTATATGCACACTTATTATTATAACAAAAATCTATTTACAGATTATATGGCTAGTATGTTAGTTTTAGTTTACATTTTCAAATTTAGTCGATTTATATTATTATTAGTGCGATATTAACCAATTTTGTTGTTGAATAATTACGCTACAAAATTAACCTGAAATAAACTCGAATTCTAACTGAAACTGATAAAAATTATCTCATACATTGTTATTACTAAACACGGGATCATTGTTTGATTGAAAGATTTATGGAATGAACATCAACTCTGAGATGCAGGTGTATCTATCTGACGAGTCTTAAATAGGACGAAATGCGCATCCTGGATTTCATTGCTAGCCACTATTCATGATTGCTTATAGTGCTTGTGAATTAAGGTAATATTGAGGCAATACGCGCAGTATGCACATATGCCAATAAGAGACTGACGAATTGCAGTCCTAAAGATTAATGGGAAGATTCAAGTAAACAATACGTGGTGAATTTATGGGGAATAGTTCATATTAAAGTTGGCTTTTATCACAAATTGACAACAATTGAAAATATGGATCATTCTATTTCAACTAGGCTGCTTAAAATTAATCGGCACACTTGGGTTCTATGCTTGATTTATGTAGGTAGTGTGGGTACGAATAGTCTTTTTCTAGTTCAACATGGGTGTTTAATCCACTTAGTTTGTTGGCTGGTGTTAATTTGTAACGAAATGAAAATTTAAAAAATAAATAGTAACTAAGAAATATTACTCTGCTTATCAAGAGTCTATTACAATAACCGCCAATTCACTCAATACAGAGTTCAGTACTTACAGCAAGTCAGTAGTTGGATTTTAAAACTTTTATTCACATGAATGAATGTACAATGAATTGCATGCTAGAAAAATATTAGAAGGTATTAGTGAATGAAATCAATTGGTATTAAAATGCACTCTGATAACTGATAGTCTTCGTGATTAGGGTTCGCAAAACAATAGTAATCTATGATGGAATACTTTAAAAGGAATAGCTAGACCTCAATGGTATTCCTTCCTACGGTTTAATTTTCTATCTTCTACAGGATAATCTTCATCTGTCGTTCATTTATTTTGTTAATTAATACCACCTAAAGCGATATGAATACGAACAGGTATATAATGTCCCACTTCCAAGATTGTTTACGCCACTTTTTCGAATATAAATATATTCATCATCGAGTGAAACACATTCCACTTCGAAATCATAAGTACATATGTATGATGTATGAGTTAATAAGTGTAAGGTTGAACCACCAAACACAAGAAGCTGATTACCGATTGTCGTATACTATTGTCTTTCGTTCTGGTGAAATTCGTTTAATCACCTCAACAACGTGACCATAATAAGATATCTAAGTTTGTGTTGACATTTGCGTGCTAGTAATTAACAGGCAACCCTTATGCATCTGTTTCAGATCATTAGCTGCTGACAGTTCCGATGGTATTAATGAGCCTTCTGAGATTTAGGTCCACACTGCTTAGCACCACAAATGATTAAGCTGCCAGTTGACTTACTTAATCTGAGGTTACATGAATGTTAATTGTTATTAATTGGTTATATGTGTCAGTTCAATTTACAAAGTGAATGAATTTCTTTATTATTTGGTATCTATCTAAGGTGTTAAAGTCTTTGGACTAATCACCGTGGTAACAAAATTCAGGATGAAAGCACTTTCATCAAAGTTTGCAGTGTGTTCATTTGAACAAAATATGGTATATATATAAATTTTGATGATATCACATATACACGGATTATATATTCAATTTCGATGAAAATGAGACCATTTACTAGTTTTACAATAAACACCACATGTTATTTTAATTTACTTAATTATTTGTATCTAACGATATGTATTAATAATATCAGATTACATAACTAAATATTACTCAATAATCAATACTATGAACAATGAACAAAAGATGTCACATTAAATAAGAGAAGAATGTAAAACGTGAATACACATATCTATAAACTTGTTTAATTATCATATGTTTATTGTCTTATGCTGAAAAAAGAATGATAAAACAATACATGAATTCTATCATATTCATCATAATAGTATAAAATATTCAGTTACAAAACATAGGACATAACACTTTTTTATATTCATTAAGGTTTAATTTAATGTATACACAGCTATATATGGGTTTATTCGAGTTGTAGATATCATCTAGAGAATCTATAGTAAGTCAGTGAGTACTTTATGTCCCGGATTTCTCAGATTTTCCATCTGATATCAGTTAGCGTTGAAAAACATGTACATTGAAATAAAACATTCATGTATCCTAAATCAAAGGTTTATTTTCGTACTCGTGCTTTTGAATCAAATTTAATGAATAATATCAAAATGTCCCGTAAATTCATTACACTAGTAATAAGCCCTTTTCTTAGTGCATCGAACCCATACTTGGTACTTGCATTGAGGTTTGAGGTTTGTGATGCCAGCAACTTAATAAAGTAGTTTGATATTCACAAATAATGCCCTGACAGAATATAATGGTTTAGCTTTTATACCTCCATTTATTGTGTGTATTAATCGAAGCAAACAAACAATATGTCACTTGCTATTTGAAAGTGTAATTAATCATGTGATAAATCAAAACGACTATATTGATCAAGAGGTATACATCCCATAGTAAATAATCTTTTGTCATCAAAATTATCAAGTGATTTTTTTATTGAGATAAACACAAAGATTTCTGTTTGTAAAGAGGGAAGTATCGATAAACATTTACTTAAATTTAGAAATGTTTTAAGTAACTGCTTTTTTGATAATAAGAGGTAATTTATTCTTTTCAAAAACTTATAAATATTAGTGTTATAGAGGTTGTGAAATGCTATTCAACAATGTCATTTAATCAAAGATGGATAGTGGCTAGCACTGAAATCCAGGACGCGCGTTCCGTCTGCTGGATGTACCTGCACATTAGAGCTGATGTTCACCCTGAGACTTGAGCCTAGTACTGTTCGCTTCAAACACCATCGTGTTATCTATTTGGCTACTTAATCCTAATAGCCACTTGCTTGTCTAATGGAGTGAAGCTTAAATTCACTTAGTATTGTTTACCTGAATCCTCTCACTGATGTTAAATCGTAAACATCAATGGGAAGATTCAAAGGAACAATACTAAATGAATCCAATGTCATTTAATGTCTGACGCAGCCGACAACAATTTCAATGAACACTCAGTTATTTAACGGATATTTATAGAGAGGTAATTAATATACTTATTGATCGATTTACACAACATTGTTAATTGGATAATATAATTAATGTAATAAAGACAAACATTACTTTTCGAGGATGTTTAAGTAGTAGATTCATTTAACTTGTAAGTATGGGGAGAAATAAAAAACAGATGAGAATATAAGTGAAAATTAATACTTAGATTACATAAAATTATTTGGTATGCACATCACTAACAGTAGAGTAATTTGTACAGTTTTGACCATACAGTTATACAATTGTTTAAAAGAGCTTTTAACGGCACTATTTTGGTCATGGCGAGATAATTTTCATACTTATTACAAGTGGTTGAAAACAATCCATAAGATACCTTTAGATTCCTGTCAATGGAACTTCTTCAGGGAACTCATACATCCTAACAAATTCAAATTAGTGTAAGTTATCTTCATGGCCAGAGGTGTTTTCAGTCATCTCAATCTTCTTCACAGTTCCTTTGTTGTCTGTTCAAAAATTATAAGATAATCGTTAGTAAACAAAATGTTAAAACTGTTCTTATAACATCTCAGCTCAGATCAAAAGTTTACAATTATCAACAAAGAAATTAGGTTTAGCTTAATCGGTCAGATTATGTAATGAATAAATGTGAAGCATTCAGTTTTCCGTAATTTTCTTCTCCTAAATATACTTGCCTAATTTACCACAATGGAAAAACAAACAATGAGCAGATGATTTTTTTCATTTTTTTGTGACTTTTCATCATATTATATGAAATAGGACCACAAACCTTCAGAACGCAAGGCATTCGCAATACTTTTAGACTAATGAATGGAAACTCACTTGTTCATGCCCTCTACTTTGAGCAATTAGTGATTTAGTATAATCATTATCTGATCACCTTAGTGAAAACTATTTTACTTTTGACATATTTAAACCCTTATTTCTCTGATAAAGGGATACTCATCGTAAAACAACTTCATATTTTGGGTTTTCAGTTGTAAGTATTCAGTTTCATCTATTTATATTCATTTTTCATTAAGGTGGTGTACATATCTAGTCTCCTTCATTCATAATAACAACTTGAAACTACTGAAGTAGTTTAGGCTGAACAAGATTATAGTTTTTACCACTCGTAATTAGATAAACCTTACTCTGGTAATGATTAAGTTCAGATCTGAATTGTTCAATTTTTGTAGTAATTAATACCAACATTCTTTAAGTTGTAGATAATTCGACATATATTCACAAAGTCAAATTAAATAATCCTTATACGTTGGGGGAATGACTAATGTTGACGATAATTTAGCACTTGATTTGTCCCAATTCTGAACACCTAACAACACACAAATTGCCCTATTCTGAATTTTTGTAGTGTTATTTCTAAATGAAATATTGATTCAACTTCCATAAGCTACATGAAATTGTAATGAGTATAGATAATTTTTAATTGAAAGTAACCGAAATATTTCGACTTAAATTCAAAAAGGTGAGGCTGAGACCATTTTGATTAACAATAACACTTCAAACTGCAACAAGTCGTGATAGATTCTGAACCATTTTCAATGATCTACATCCCATCACTAACTTTTGTTGTCTCAGAGATCTTAGTCGTGACCTCTACATCCTCATATACACTTTAACATAGTTATTTATGGACTCATATCCTGAAATCTTGCCTTAATATGGGTTTGTTGAGTATTAAATAGGCACAACCGCAATCCATTCAATACTTTGTTTCGGCTAGACTAACGTTAGTTACGGTTTGTCCAAATTTAACCACATTCAGATTAGGTTTCCTAATCTCAACGGTTTTTTATCTACACTACTCGAAAATTCTCACTTTTACATTCCACATAAAACGATTTTCCTTAAAACACGAAATTCTTGGACTTCGGATATTATGGCTAATTTTGTAAGCATCATCAAAGCTGATAATTATTTATTGAGTTGATTATTCTTTTGAATACGTTCTTTTGATAATCGGTCTTTATGAAAAAAGAAGCTAACCAGTGTTTTGTAGTTTTCAGTTGTTCTACAACGAATGTCAGTCTGTAACGAAAACTGTCTTCATATTAAATCAATCTGAAAACCGACTTCAATAAGTGAATTAAATATGTTTGTTGAATTTTTGACAACCGGAGTTAAAATAGTTGTATTGTTTGTTTTAAATTCGTTTGTTTTTCTACAGTGTTCGTAAATTAATAAAAGGTGCTATTCTGGAAAATGACTTCATGAATCATATCGCATCAAGTCAATTGAGTCAGTTAGTCGATTGCATGTACAGCATAGAGTTTACTGCGGGTGAAATGATCATTACTGAAGGCGATTATGGCTCGTTAGTGTATGTATTAGGCGGTATGTTAAACGTGTTTTTATGTAATATACTTGTAATTTGTATAATAATGTTATATTTGCTATATATATTAAGCAGTATATTGTTATGCTGTTCAGTGAAAATTAACCTCTATAGATAAACAATACGAATGACTATGGTGTTAACAGCTTTTTATTTCGTTGACCTTTATTTCAATGGGCATTTACTTTAAAGATAGATCAATTAAATACAATACTTAAGATTTGACCTATTCATAAAGCTAATAGCTTAGAACAAATATAATGATTCACTCAATATGAGAGCTTCATTAAAAATGGTCATTTATCCGTCAGTATGGTATAACATACAATTTATTGATATTCTAAATAAAATGAGCACCTATATGGCTGTCGATAATCTAGAAAACAATATTCTGAAACAAGAGAAGTTAAACATTGTGATACTTTCATTAAATCAATTTTAATAAGATAGTTTTTATACATTGGCTTAACAACGAATATATATATCTTTCCTCGTCCTTCTTTCTAAATTTTATTGCTAAGCAATTTCACTGTCATTAGTTTGCTAAACAATAGATTCACAGTAAATAAAAAAGTATATTTGTCATAACCCAGTCAGTAGAAAAAAATTCTTTTTAAATATTCTGACGTTTCTGACGTTTTAAACTCGGAATATTTTTGATTTGGTTATTTATTCTCTGAAGAAGTGACTTACATTGAGTCACGAAACGTTGGAAAATATAGTTTTCTATTCATTTGGATATTACAAATATTTTAATTTTATTTATAAAAATCTACTCAATGCTGAATTTATTCGAAATTATCAAGTCAAATCTTGGTACTGATACATAGAAATAGATTTACAGTATTATACTATCTCAGGAAAGAACTATTTGTGAGCTTATATAAATACATAATAATTGTTAATTAGTGAGCAACAGAAATCTGTTTGAACTTTGTTTAGAAATCATCAGAAGTGCGAATCTTTTAATTCCAATGTGATGAAAACACAGGCTATCACAATACCTTTGAATCACGAAGTTGAATTCATGTTTCTCCATCAAACTGAGAACGGACAATGTGTCTTAAATTAAAGTGAAACAACATCCCTGTGTATCGAAGTATCTCATGAGTCTTTAGATGATGTAATTTTAGAATGAATAAAGAGTAGAAATGAAAATTTACTACTTAAATAACTACTTATTTCACCTAGAAATTTAAATAAAAAACATTATTATTCCCTAATTAGTGAAAAAAAGATAGATACTTGAAGAAACACTATCTGTCGGCAACATGAATAAACTATTTGGATTTTTATAAAACTTTAGTTCAGATTTAAATAACTTTAGCAGAAATGAATGCGTCTGCGTACTAATGATATTCGATATAAATTGTATTTGTTGAAATCTATGAGTGATATTAAGTGGTTCAAATAATTTTCTTGTCATTTCCTTTCGAAATGCGTCAAGGAAATAAAATTAAAATTTGGCACTCATTATAGATGGTTTATATTTGAAGAAACAAATTAACCCATAATTATATACACACAATCCGTGGTGGATGATTCAATTTATCCTGTCAACATTAACATACTTGTTTCTAATATTATTCAACAGGTTATTTGGAAAATAATCATCAGTTAATTAATTAAACAAGTTTTTACAAAACTTTAGATTACTATTTTAAGAATTATTCGATACAATCATGGATTTTATCCGTATCAATAATATTTCATATGATTCGACTAATTTTTTTCTGGTTAGCGTTTTTTCTAGCGAGTTAGTTTTCTACGGGATAGGGACGCTAACCCCATACCCAACCCTCCTCCTTTATCCGGGCTTCGGACCGGCAGCAGCCCCCGGAGGGACTCCAGGCGGAGTAAGTAAGTAAGTAAGTAAGTAAGTAAGTAAGTAAGTAAGTATGATTCGAATACTGTCAAGTAGTTAGGATAAAACATCATAATATAATTAATCTAATATATGTAATTTAAGTGAAGATCTACTTACTTCAAAGTTGATTTTTTTTACATTCTGTTATCCTACGGTTAGCTGTGAAACTGCCAATAATTATTATTGTCCTATTTTAAGACCTGACATAAGAAGACAACATGGACCGTTAAGTCTCATAATTCTTAAAATGCCCATAATCCACTAATTCAGATAAATTATGATATAGATCAATTCTTACATAATTCATTCTTTAATGAATGTATTGACTGTATAGTTTACAGCCTCATCCGAAATCCATTGTAAAGATGATTATTAGTGAATGCAAAGATATAATCAAGTTAAATAGTTTTACTATCATTATAACAAAATGTTAAATCTGAACAAAAATATTTATTCTTATTGTAAATCATTTATCTATTTTTTGTATTATATATTTTTTTCATAATTATAAAACACATGACTATTCAATGAATTACATAAATGAAATCTATATGTAAAGTTCATCTAAGAATAAATAGCCTTTAAACAACACCAACAACAACAAAATCACTTGTAATTTATATTAAAGCAACATATTTTACATGTTAAAATTTTTTGTGTTTCATTTTCTTCATCATTTTCTAATAACACAAATGAGAATACACTAGGAAGAGAAAGTTGTTTAATAGAAAAACATCAGTTAAATCTTTATTCTTTTTTATTATTTATAAATAGATTACTTAGAAACTATAAATCAATATTCTAACTGAATTAAGGAATCTTTAAAACCATTAAAATTTTATTAGAATTTTAAAAGGGGGGAGGGTTTCCTTTAATTTTAACTATAAGGTGAACAGATATGATTTAATTGAATGCAAGAATGTTCATTCGATAATCTATAACATTGCACATAACTATTTTTATTGAAAAGAGATAAAAGTAAAAGACTAACGAATTCACAGTATATTTGATGAAGTTTTTCTATCTTGTAAACTTTCATCGATCAATGGCATCATTCGTAATCAAATAATATGCATCCATTTATTTTGAACAATCTCTTCAGTTGATTATATTCCTTCCCATGCAAAAAAGTAAAATAATTCATTTATAAGTTCAGGTTTGGATTAAACCTTTAAGTCAAAGGCTCGAAGTGTGGCCAACTAAGAAAACCACCTACTTTGATTTAAGCACGTAGGCAGTATCCCAGCCCTCATACAAATTAAATGATTTATGTGGAACAGCTTATTTTGTAGATGATGTTCGATTTACCTTTTTTTGTCATTGTATCAATTGCTAAAAACACTACATCGGACAAAGCGGATACCCTCTTCATCTTCGCATGCATGAACACTGAGTACCAGTGAAACGCCATGAATTACTAATATCAGTGCATGTGAACAACTGTGAACACACATTCGACTGGAAAAATTTATAGATCTTGGATAGAGGCGATTCTAAAAACACCAGAGAATTTTTAGAAGATTTGCACTCAGGTCAATCAGCAGTCAACGAGCACATTGAAATCAATCCAATTTATCAACCGATCAGAAAAAAATATGGAAAAACATAGGACCAAAAATCAAACCAATGGGAGATACAGCCAACATAAAGAAGTAGACAATGGCAGGTTTAAGGTCGACAAGAACCAATCAACATCGAAGTCTACAGGACAAGCTGTGAGCCATATGTGCAGAAATTCGAATACGTCACTTCTACCTGAAGTTTATGTGGATGTCGTTCAGATGAACGATGAAAGCTCCACGACCAAACCATCCATCTCAGAGAACAAAACTCCATCAAACTAATCCACCTGAGCTACAAATTTTCTCTACCATCACAAAAAACTGACTTCTAATTGAGAGTATAAAATAAAACGTTCTACAAGTAACTGTTGAAAGCTGTGGTCTACAGGGAGACACAAGACCGACAAATGTTTTGATATTAACTACATTAGAAAATGCGATCGGTTTATAGATCTTCTCCCATTGATTGTTGTGAAGTATTTTGAAGTAGCGGCATCCTACCAGCTACAGTGGTTAAGATCCACTGGGTATCAAAAATACTCCACTTTTCATTTCGTAAGTGTAAATAGAAACCTTTCGAAGAAGGGCATTTTATTAATTTGATAGTTCCCAAGGTTGTCTCGTTGGGTATAATCTTGGTAGATATCTTTATCATATACATAAATCAGGTTCACAGGTTTTAGTGGATTTTACGGTTTTGCTTTCCATTTAAAAGCCGATGACGTTCCTGAACTTTACGTCCACTCTTCTCCAAGTTTTAATAATGAATTTCATACTGCTTGATCGTCACCATTAAGACAATAAAAGGAGAACATGTACTCGTTGTCAGATTCGAACTATCGTCAAAGACCTTTTAAATGAGCTTTGCAAGGTGCGATCAGTATTCTGTATAAATGATTTATTTGCACACAATTTGATCATTAGGTTGTAGTAATTACTTTGCTAACTATTCATTCTCTTGTTAATATTACTGTATGGCGAACATAAAATACTCCAAACCATTTATAATTGCAATCAAACTATCAAAGGTGTTCATCTCGATAAAAATGAATTCACCATGTACATTGAAATACTAGTAAAACCTTATGACTTTCTCGTTTCAGTAACCAAAAGCTCTGAAGATCTAGTCATGAACTTCACTGGTCGATAACATCATCTTGAAAGTAATGGAATACAATGATAGCCGAAAATAGTAGTATGTTACTTAATTAGGCTTTTATCAATGACTAGATTTCTCTAAACATATTTTACACAAAAACTTAATGTTACAGCAGTACTTTACAGCTTCTTAGTCAAACAAAAGTGTTTATTGGTAAGACATATATGTTCTCTCGTCTTTCAATCGATTTCATTTTATGAAAGATAGACGCATGTATATAGAAAATAAGATTCATATAAAGAATTAGTAGTATTGTGTTTGATTGACTGATGTTTATTATAAGAAAAGTATTCTAATCTTTTATTTCATGACCTGAAGAAAATTTTATATTACATTTTAATCTGGTTGTTCCTCTTCACCTTTTATAAACATGAAGTATTCTGTTATTATGTTGTTAAACTACGTAATACATACAGAGATATTTTAATAGGGTTTAGTAATTTACATTTAATATCAAAGTGTTCTTTTCTTATTTGCCCTTAAGACTAAATATGGAACAATCAGTGAATAGAGGTACATTCAAAAGGTCACTATTAATAATTGAATGAAATCAAACTATATATTGTATATAAAATATCTTGTTTCGTATAGAAGTATAGTTTTGTTGTATAGAAATGAACAACAGTTTGAAAAAAATAAATGAATACTGTATGCTATTTAATACTAGTTTAATTTACTTCAGGAAGCTGACAATTGTTCAGATTGAAGAACTAGATTAATTCTTATCTATTGGATACCTTTTGTATTTGACCAATTATCATTTAGTGAAATTGACTTACCAGTGATCTGTCATTCACAACAAAGTTGACATACAACATAGGATTGACTAAATTGGTAATGTAGATCGTCCGATGAACGAATTCATACTTCTTAATATCTTACTTTCAATTTTAAAGCAATTAGCCCCTTTTATAAATTTCGATAGAACAATGAGAAGACGGAGTTGATCTGAAAAATGTGATGTATTTGCGCTATACATTTCGAACAATCTGGTCACACATATACTTGTCAAGGCATTTTTATATGAAAATTAATAAAGGTCAAACAAATAAAAGTACAATTAAAATAACTAAGGGGAGAGAAAGAATAAGAAATTGTCGCGTTATCCTAGGCCATAAAATGACTTAAGGATTACCAAGGTAAATTCAAGGTTATGACAAATTGTTTTTGTACACATAAGGGGGGTTTAAATTTACGAATAGCTAAGGCTTCAATAAACTTAAGAATTCGACCTTGACAATTTCTATACAACGTTCTAAATGCTGTATTAATGTTAATTTTGTGCCCCGTCTCAATTATGTGTTTTGTTATAAGTCTTGGTGATGTGATGTTAGTGATGTGATTAGTTAATATATCTCTTTTAATGTTTCTTGGGATCAATAATTTTTATACATAACTTGGAAAAAGATGTCAACCGATTTTAGTTCTAATCTCTAGCTGATTAGTACTCTTCAACTTATCTTACATCAACAAGAGATGCCAATTTATATGGTGCATCTTCCTTTTACAAAGAATCGTGCCATAGTAGTTTTAAGACAGTTGTCGATGGTATAACTCTTTGTAATTAAAAAATATAAGATACTTTCATGAAAACTATGATGCAATCAAAATGATATTATAGCCAGATATGCATAGAAATCATTTATATATTGAAGCAATATAACCAATTTATAGCTATCGATATAGCTTTTCTCAGGAGGACTGATTTATAAGTAAAGATGAATAGTGGTTAGCAGTGGAGTCGAGGACGCACGTTTGGTCCTATTTGTGACTCGTCGGCTGGATGTACCTTCATCACACAATTGATGTTCACTAAGGGACAGGAACATGTTTCATTATCTGTTACATCACCTTTAATGTTTCTTAGGCTCAATAGTTTTATTCAATAAATGAACAGATAAATTTATGGAGGTACCTTTACGTGTATTTTCTTAAAAAATTAAGCATTAGAAAAGCCAAAAACCGTGAATTACGATAGACCACTTATGGAAGTTTTGAACAGTGTGAGAATAAATCTGAAGAGAAACTGACAATAACCAAAGAACTTAACAAGAAGCATAAAGTGTACCGTCTTATTTAGAATTCGTCGCTTGTGAAATTCAATGACTACACATATCTTAAGTTAAACACAATGTAATTCAACTACTGTTATAAACGATCAATAATTATTATTTCAAACAACTCGAGTCATAGACCGACATAACTACATTTTGTGTATAAATGATTGCCCTGATCTCAGTGGTTACGAAATGATTTGAAACCACTGTCTGATTTCCAATGATCCTCCATTTGGTCTCATTTCTTGGTGAAAAGTGTTTTCATTTTGTACCATTTTGTTACCACGGCCATAAGTTTTAAAAAAACTGATTATATATTTGAAGACACAAATAAACTTTGTCATTGAGTACTTTAACATTTTTTGTTCACTGAACGTGAAAATTGTGTCACAAGCATATTTTGTGTTCATTTACTAGTCATTTTGTTGTATATTTTTCATTTTAAATTCTTAGAGGGACAACTAGAAATTTCCAAAGATGGTCGAAAATTAAGAGTGCTAGATCGTCCGACAGTACTAGGGGAATTGGCTGTTTTATATAATTGCACTCGAACTGCCAGTGTTAAGGGTAAGTATGTTGTTTTAATTTTAGTGGAGATGTCGAAAAGATATTAACCTTACCCATAATTTTATCATATTTACATTTTTCGAAGAATCTTAAACATTCTTGTTTTACTGTTGAATGAATAAATTTACTTTACAAGAAAACTTTTTGTGATGGACTAACTGCATTTGTTCGATCAATAAAAACTAGAAATGAGTGGAGCGCTGTTACACCCTACGTTAAAACAACTCAGTTATGTGCACCATATTGAGTTCACAAGTAAATAAGATCAGCGTTCGCGCGAGAGACCGAAGGCCCTGGATTCGAATCCTGCTGGCGGGATCGTGGATGCGCACTGCTGAGGAGTCCCACGACAGGACGAAACGGTCGTCCAGTCCTTGCAGGTTTCCAAAGGTGGTCTAACATCAATCGGTCCATGATCTCAATCAAAAAATGAATCCTACTCGTTGAACCAAAGATATTCACACTTAAATAACGATCTACGAGTCATTTGTGACTGTTATATAACTCAAATCTTAAATAATTTACGAATAACTTGTGCTCTAATAGCTTTAAAATAGTGACAAAGATTCTCTATCTGGAGGATGATAATGGTGAGCTTCCTTTCTCTGGACTAATGGGTCAATTGTGCATCTCTCATCAACTTTCAGGATTACACCATCAACATCTAGGAGATTCAGATTGGCACTGACAAACACTGCGGCTTTATGTGTCTCAGCTAAATGAAAATTTGTGAAAGACACCATATCCTCTCTTCTCATAAAGATATCTCAAGCTTCAATGTTATATTTTAATTTTAACTCATGAAGTAGTGCTGAACAAAATCCTCCTAACTAAATAAAATATATCAACGATTGACGGATACCCTAATATGATCTGTCATATTCGAAAGAATTATTTAAAAAATAAGTTCTGGTCCTGAAATTAGACGAGAAAACATTTTGAACCCTCTAAGTCACTGATATGTTTTTGAGTACTAAAGAAATTAGCCCCAAAACTGACTACGATTTTAATTAGCAACGTCATTGATGTTGCAGAATTAACATCAGAACAAGTTACCTTGCCTTTATGCACTAGTCATCAAAATCAATACAGGATAAACAGTAAAACTGGATTTAGCATAAGCCAGTACTGTAATACATCTAACACACGGATAAATAAATAAAAATACATTGTAATCATTATATAGAAGGATGTTTAATCAAGCAACTTTATCAAAATGTGTTTATCAGACTCAAAACTAAGCAAATACTCTAATATAGAATTCATAAACAGATTATTCTATAATGTATCAATGACCTAAGAAATTACAACCAGATTTCTTAAATCAACAAGGTTTATATAGTTTACAAACCGGAAATTGACTATTACTCTTGTAAAGTTTCTAGATGTTTCTTCTTATTTGATATATTATTCTTAAGAGGAAAAACAAAACAATTATGGATCAGGAAGTGTTTTACAACTTATTGATTATTTTTTTAGTTTTATTATAACTTGTGGCCTGTGTGCCTTGTTAATGTATAAAGCAGTGATACCTTCAATTAGAGAGCAGTGAATTATCTATCGGACCAATGACGCATAAAAACCGTGCGAGCAGTCTAGAGTACTTATCGGTCCTGCTCCCTGCTTAACCCAGCCTGTAAAGTCCAGGACACCAATCTCAGCCTCTGTGATACGAATCACTTATTTCAAACACGCTGGGTTTATATACCAACTAGACAGACCACATCGTACCATAAAATAGGAAACAACATTTGTACAAGATTAAGCCAAAAGTGGCTGTGAGTGTGGGAGGTAGTAATTAATAGACAGGGCATAATTCAAGAATGGTAAATCGTACAATAATAGTTCACAAGTTAAAATAAAGCTTATAATAAGAGGTACACGTATATGAACAGCTTAGTTATTTAACAATTATACGATAAATATATACACATAGAATTGGTCCATAAATGGATCCCAAAAATTACCATTCATTATTCTCATCGGGACATAACAAGTCTATTCATTGAAACATGTCATTTTTTTATTATTTTCAATTTCATCTTTAATTTTTTAAAAGAAAACAACATTATACATCCTTCATTTACGTAATAAAGTGTAACCGAACTAAATAAAAGTTACTTTCAATGATGCATTCCTTAAGCCTTAGTTTCATGAATGTAATTTAGCTTGCCTTAAATCCCATTTTATTATTTATTATAAGATTAAATTAAATATGTTACCCTTGATATTACAGTACTTGTCATCATTTATTGTATATAAATGTGTATAAAATATGTAACTCTTATTGTTCTATTTGTGTATATGTGTATGTATATATAAATATACATGAAATGTTTTCCCAATATGGCAATCCAGTTTTATATTCATACTACAAATAAATTGCAATTATAATATTATATATATAGTAACATATAGTATTATGTATATTCAATGTGCCTAAAAGTGATATTTCCATTTATATGATAATCAAATTTATTCTGTCTATACTCAATCGTATTCAGACATAACTTCAACATGCGTTAATAGAAACGAATGACTCTCGTCTGTAAATTGTCCATATGAATGAAATTGGTGTTAATGACATGTTCATTAATTATAATAACAGGATTATTTGTTATGCATTAAACGAATATGATAATAAATTGGTAGATTAACATTTGAAAGATGAATATTCTTTTCGATAGATTCTCTTCAGGTTCTACAATTCATCTACCCAAATTAATAATCCGAAAAATGTCCAGGTTAAGGGCAAAGTACATCAAGGCTAATTAATCAATCGTAATCTTAACTATTGAATAATCTAGTTTGACTATGACCTTTCGTAGTCAATTGTAATTGTCTCTGTTATCTTTATTCATAAATCTTTGTATTATTATTATTATTATTATTATTATTATTATTATTATTATTATTATTATTATTCGTATTATTGGTTGAACATCCTTATTAATCTCCCTTAAACATGATTCATTCACTTCGCATTCATCCCTCCGTAATACGTCTTACTTATTTGATCGAATTGTACTCGCACTATTATTTCTCTCTCACCCAATTTCACCCATATTTATTCTGATCATGGATCTTAAAATTTCACTTAACATAAACGCAGATTCAAGTTAACATTCTATATGAGTCATATCAACATTAACAATTTTATTGTATTTTGTTTATCACAATCCTAAATTCACATGCCTTAAACGATGTACTTTGCCCTTAACCTGGCCATTTTTCGGATTATTAATTTGGATATATAAGTGTAGAACCTGAAGAGAATTTATCGAAAAGAATATTCTTCGTTGAAATATTAGTCTTTTAATATGACGGGGATTTTTGAAACATTAACATTTTATTATTATTATTATTATTATTACTATTATTATTATTATTACTATTATTATTATTATTACTATTATTATTATTATTATTATTATTAGATAAAAGTACATTAACTTTTATTTTGACCAGAACAATAAAATAATTATAAACAGAGAGTGGTTTTGTAGATATTATAGTAGATTTAATAGTTGATGTCATGAATCAATTGAAACTAGATCATCATGGAAAACTTGGAAGCATTGGATGGCCGTTTCGTCTCAGTATGAGACTATACTATACTATAAAACAATATACTATATTATGGATTCAATAATAAAGACATTTTCTTTAACGGGATAAATTCACTAAAATGACATGTATATTAATCTTTAATCACATAGTGAAAATAAAAATCCTTCTTATTTAGTTGTAGCCTTTGATCAGTTATCTGAATGATAATAATTTGAATTATGTGTGTTAGTATCGAGTTATTTTATGAGATACTCCTGTAAATCAATAGAGTACCCTTTTAGGTTTCATTTATTACTTGTTATGTACATATTTAATTAGTAGTAACGTTAATATCTAAACAATAGCTGTGACTGACACTACGTAAATATATCAAAAGTTGCCAAATACATTTACTGATATCAATTCATGGTTTTTCTTATATGCTGAAATATTGAAAAATAAGTAACTTCAGGAAATCTAGGCAGTGTTTTTAAAACTAAAACATTCAGTTTTCTCATATAAACTCTAACCTATATGCTAATAATAGAAATGATAAAACTCTTAAAGGTTAGAAATCAGATTCTGTGAAAAACTAATCAAAATAGATAATGATCAGTGACGAAACATGTATTGATGACGACCAGCCGAATTCTGGATCAACGAAACAAACTGGTAGTTGTCTTTGAAGAAATTTCCATACCCTGCTTCTTTCTGAAATTTGAAAAGATATTATTGTTTACAAAGAAAGTAAACGTATAGCCATCAAAAGTCCTGTTGCAATCATGGTATTATTGATTGTAATGTCTGCTTTGGAACAAGCACAGACCATAATAAAATGGAAATTTAGCAAGAAAATGCATTCTTTCATTTACATTTTAGTGATTCTACATTAATATATAGGCTTTAAAATTATATTATAATAAAACCTGCATTACTCAGTTGACGAAGAGCTGTTTCACACTATTAACCACGGTTAAGAAAAGCATTATTGCAGCCGAATGAGAATTGTACAATCACTAAGTTCATAGGCATGGAACATTAAGTGTGCATGGATAAAGCATTTCAAGTAATCTGTCATATTTAGTCTGCATTACAGCATAGTTGAACGATGGTTTATTAGCTAAAGCTTCAAGATTTCAACCACTGGGCCAAACCTTTGAATCCCGTCCCATTTAATTTAACAAGGCCATAGTGATAATCCTTATACATGACTCAAAGATGAGTATTAAGACTGTACTTGATAGAGTGGTTAAATTAAAATAAATCTTGTTTGACACATGGTTTTCATATACGTTTACTCCATATTTCATCTCCAGATATTTTCACAAGAAAACCTCTATCACTTATCTCATCCTCATTCCAAACTATAGTGAATCTATGAAAATGACTGAGGAATGGTCTATTATTCTTCCGTTTCGAATTTTACTCGTCTTTCTTTGTACATAACGTGTCAATATAAGATCATATACCATGATTTCTTTATTCTTCCACTAAGTATTATGTAATCTGTCAACTCATCCACTAAGTAAAACTGTTTAAACTTTTAGTTATCATCTTATCTATTTTCTTTAAACGATGTCATTAGTCATTCATTATTATTCTAACAAACAATTTGAAATTTCAAAATAACATTCGATAACTCACCGCTAATCATATTAATATTTTTTGTACTATTATTTCTGTGTAGCTAACACTACTGGGTTTGAGTCCCAGAGTGAATATCAACTCTGAGATATATGTAAATCTAACTGACGAGTCCTGAACAGGACAAAACCCGAGTCCTGGATTCTACTGCTAACCGCTATCTATCTTTGCCTATATTTACCAACTTTGTTTGAAGTTTTCAATGTTATTTCGATTGATTATTTCCTAATAGGAAAAGACGTAATATAGAGTTATAAATTTACTATTCAAATTGTTTTTCGCATTTCCAAAGCAACATTTTAAATATCCATGAAAGCTTCTTTTTGATCTTACTTTTAATAAAAGTAGTATTAATTGGTTGTTGTAAAATTTCCATACATCACTTTATTTAGTCTCAATGAACATGAACAAGGTAAACCAAAACCCTGTCACTTTGAATATTACTCAATAAATATTGCGAACTATGAGGAAAGTAACCAGTAGATATGTATATATTCTGATTGTTAGAAAAACAGATCTTACCAAAAACTGTTAATCATAAGTTCAAATAGAAGAATTTAGATACCGTGGCAACACACAATTTTTTGTATATAAAGCATAACCTCAGCATATATGCATTCAATAAAGCATTTCGAGTGCATAGTTTCATTTAATCATTTATCCTTTACTTATTTATTTATTTATCGTCTCATTCTAATGAAGTGTTTCCTAGAAAAGTCAATGACCTAGACCCATTTTATATTTACTAATATTACTACTAATAATAATAATGAATAATTTTTCTAGTATGATTATGCAGAATTACGGAATAATTCTTTGTAATTAAAAAATATAAGATACTTTCATGAAAACTATGATGCAATCAAAATGATATTATAGCCAGATATGCATAGAAATCATTTATATATTGAAGCAATATAACCAATTTATAGCTATCGATATAGCTTTTCTCAGGAGGACTGATTTATAAGTAAAGATGAATAGTGGTTAGCAGTGGAGTCGAGGACGCACGTTTGGTCCTATTTGTGACTCGTCGGCTGGATGTACCTTCATCACACAATTGATGTTCACTCTGGGACTCTAACCCAGTACCGTTCGCTTCAAACACCATTGCGTTATTCACTTAGCTACTGAGTACTGACAGCCACGTGTTTGTCAATCAGAAACTGATCAATTGCAGTCCTAAGCATCATTAGGTAGATTCAAGTAAACCATAACAAGTGGATTTAGAATGTCCTATAGTTCTGAAATTTCATAACACGTTGTTATTGTGTCTTGAAAAATAAAGAACTTCTTTCGTTATCAAGTTCATGATTTACTAGTAATTGACTATTATCCAAAATGTTTTATAAAGAGAGTGGCTATTCGGAAACATAATTTTTTAGTATCAAATAAAACATTGAACAATACAACTGTAAAATATTATATTTCAACGATAACAAACACTACAAATTACTGACAATGAATAGATACGACAAAATATTCATAGAATTGATATGAAAACAATCACTATTATATTTCTAAACTATCAATTATCTAGAACTTATAATTAAAAAGAAAATGTCTATTATTATTTCCAGCTATAACAAATGGAACACTTTGGGCAATTGACAGAACATCATTTCAAACTATATTAATGAGAGATCATTTACAAAAACACAATGATTACATAACATTCCTTAAGAGGTTAGTGATTAGTATGTAATTGTTTTGTATTAAGCATATATAAAAAATTTGAAATAATGACATTAGTCCTATTAGAAATTGACAACTCCAATAAACTTTGACTGTTGATTTAGGAGATTTCATTAGAAAATTCATTATAGATGAGCATGTATGGTGTATAAATAGATCAACATTCAAATAGAATCATTAACATTGATGATTAGTACCAGTGGACAGATTACTTTAGAAAACCGACTTTCATTTGTCAAACAATGTAAAACGTGTCGAGTATTTTTATTCATAGAAATACCAGTACTATACACCATTCATTACACCACTGTAAAAATGGGATCTTAAAGCTATGAAAAATACACTTTGGAAAGAAGAAATATTTATCAAGAGAGGTATGTGGAATATGAAAAATCTATGGACTAACAAACGGTGGTTTTCACATAAGTAACCAATGTTTGAATTCCATAGAGGCCTATTTGTTGGTGCTTACACAAGGCCATTAGTAACGTAGCTCATATTAAGTAAATAAACTAGCATAAGATTTTCATTTATGTCTATGTCTTATAAACAACTTGAAGAAGGGTTAACTAAGTTACCTAAAAGGATAGCTTAAAGTTACTCGACTATAGTTAGCAAATGTAAGATAAGATTCTGACCCGATTGTTGAATTAAGCCATGAATTTTGTGGTAACTGATTCTGTACAGATTAGGAAATGAGTTGTATTTAATAGTCTTGTACTAGAACGAAACATCTGTCCAACGTTTTCTGGACTAAGCGGTTTTTTATCGGTTATGAGCTCAAAATGGAAGCCTACTTAATGTTTTATGTGTGATTCTAGAACGGCTATTGATATTTGAACATTCAATCCAATTACACTGAAACAACGTTTCTACCTGAAGGTTGGGCTGATGATGTCGTTCAGAAGAACGATAAAAGCCTAATGATCAAACCATCCAGCTCACAGAACAAAACTCCATCAAAATCATCCACCTGAGCTACAAATCTTCTCCATCATCTCAAAAGTGTGTCTTTTTTTTTCTCCGTAAACTAATTATTTATTTAAATTATTAAGGACAAATCTTTTACAAAACGTTTTTTACTAAGAAGTCGTTGCAGTTGTAATCAACTAATCCAAATAAAACCATATTAACTCTATTTTGCTAATTTGTTAGTAACACTTTAATACTGAAAGTATCATTAAACATGTTTAAGTGCATCAATGATTTATTCACTAATTGACCTAAATTGTGAAGTATTCTGTTTGTTTTAAAAAAAAAGAAAACAGTATTCAATCATACAAGACATCATACATCCATACTCATTTACTTAGCGAATGATGATAAATTAATTTTAAGGAATATGATGTAGATTTATAGTCATTAATTAATTTACTGGTGTATTCAAATGTGATCTACCACTCAGATAGTAAATATACTGTCTCAGTCTATGAGAACAATCTGCGTTTCAACATATGTTACTTATACTTACTTAATCCTGTTATTTCCAATGGAGCATAGGCCGTCATAGACCAGCATTCTCAAATCCACTCTGTCCTGAGCCTCCCTTTCTAGTTCTATCCAATTTTTATTTATTCTTTTCATGTCTGTCTCCATTTCTCGGTCTAATGTGTTCTTTGGTCTTCCTCTTTTCTTTTGACCTTGAGAATTCTATGTGAGGGCTTGTCTTGTGATGCAGTTGGGTGCTTTCCTCAATGTGTGTCCTTTCCACTTCCAGCGTTTCTCCCTGATTTCTTCCTCTGCTTGGATGAAAACTAATTCAACATATGTTAAGGATTCAGAGTTGTATGGTCAGATAGGAATATAAGTATGATCTCTTAATAATCAAAATGAATTTTTTATATTTGATACGGGACTAGTAGTTTAAGTCAAGGGCTTGCATTATCCTAATTTAATAGAAGACACTATCAAAAGAATAAGTTAGATATTTTGATTATGGTTTAGAACCTATTATCTATATGAAGAAATTTGATCCTTTTTATGAGAGCAAGAAAAGCTTTGTTTCCCCTCAAAACGTTTAGTAACAACAGTTTAAGTTCAAAGAGTTATCATGATCATCTTCAAATCGTCTATAGAATGTTTTGTTTTTAAGATTTCCACTCTGAAATACAAAATAAAGGTTTATTATTCTAGGTGTTGTGTGGAACATTCATAAGTCATGTTCCAGAAAGATCAAAGATTTTTGTCTGAATTTATACTATTATCGTCCTCAGTTATAAACTTCTTTAGTTGATAATCAAAATTACTTTTGTTTTATTACTGTGTTGTGCTCAGCATATTGTTAATAAGACATAAAGTTCAAGATTTTATAATTTACTGTTCTCGTCAATATATGAACATAATGCTTATCCGATTTTCTATCTGTTGATGAGCATACAGTAGAAACTACCAATGTTACAACAAATGTTTTGGATTTTTTGATTAGCTACTTATAAGTAGGTTATGTTTATCTTGAAACTGTCATGTGAGATTAGATAATTCATCCTCCGGTTATACGGTAACCAGAATATACCTTAATCCTGTTGTATTTAAAAAGGAGAAAATTACTATATGATTATGAATTTCAGCACTCATAATAAAAAGCCGATAATATGGTATGAACAACCCATCAGTATTCAAAAGGCTGGTCAAACTTTTCCAGTTTGGAGAAATCGAATTTCATTCTGTGTCGAGTTGCATGCTCCATTTTTATCAACAATGTACTACATCTAAAACTAAGACTAGAATTAACATTAAAGACTATTTTCAGCCAATTTAATGAAAAGTGTATACATTAATTTACCAAATTATATTGTACGTTTTGCCAGCTCACACCCTGTTATCTTTAAAACAGAAGTATATTTACTCAACATGTGATGCAGTCATACAGTACTGACAACAAAACGGTACTTAATGTGTTTGATGTATGATCACTTGATCCTTTCCATAATATAGTGTAATTTTTTGAACAAAGTATTATGGGATAATTTTAACATATGATGAGTATATCTCCGAATATACAAACGTCTGTTACCCCTCATGGAGGAGCATAGGCCGCTCAACAGCACTCTCTATCCAACTCAGTCCTGGGAAATCCTTTCCCATTCTTTCCATTTGCTATTTACTCTATTCATGTCTGCTTCCGATTCCCGATGCAGTGTGTTCTTTGGTCTTCCGGTCTTACTTTTCCCTTCAGGATCCCAAGTTAGCGTTTGCCTCATGATGCAGTTTGGTGATTTCCGCAACGTATATCCTATCCACCTCCAACGTCGTTTCCTTATTTCCGCTTCAGTTGGAAGCTGGTCCGTTCTCTCCCACAGTAGGCTGTTGCTGGTCGTATCTGGTCAACGGATATTGAGCATCTTGCATAGATAACTGTTTATAAATACTTGTATCTTTTTGATGATTGTTGTAGTAGTTCTCCACGTTTCAGATCCATACAGTAGGACTGTCTTGACGTTCGTATTAAAGATTGTGACTTTGATGCTGATTGACAATTGTTCTGAGTTCCGTATGTTCTCCAACTGCAGGAATGCTGTCGTTGCTTTGCCAATCCTCACCTTTACGTCTGAATCAGATCTCCACGTTCATTGATGATGTTACTCAGATACGCGAATGTTTGCGCATTTTCCAGAGGTTCTCCACCAAGAGTGATTGGGTTATTGTTCTTTGTGTTGTATTTGGGGATCATGGTTTTACCTTTGTGTATGTTGAAGCTTACTGCCGCTACACTAGCTGTCTTTACATGCATTTGCTCGTGTTATGGGATAGAAGGGCCAGGTCATCTGCGAAGTCGAAATCACCTAGCCACATACAGCCTGTCAATTGTATTCTGTGCTTCCCCTCATATGTCGAGGCTTTCATAATTCAGTCAACCACTAAAAGAAAGAGAAAGTATGAGAGTAGACAGCCTTGTCTGGTTCCGGTCCTTACATGGAATGCGTCTGTCAGATGTCTTCCATTAACGACTTTGCAGTGTAATCCGTCGTATGAATTCCGTATGAAATTGGCGATCTTCTCAGATACATCATAGAGTCGAAGAAGGCTCCCCATGTCAAATGCTTTCTCATAATCAAGGAAGTTGATGTATCATGAAGAGTTTCATTCAAGTGATTGTTCAACGACGATCCGTAGTGTCGCGATTCGGTCTGTGTACGACCGAGTTAAATCGATAATATTCTACGAGGATTGACGATATGTATATTATCAATAACAATCATTCATACTATATTACTGAAGTCAGATCCAAGGCCACTAAAGTATTTTGATGAGATATCATTTTTTCAAGGCCATCGGCACTTGTTTTTCCTCGCAAATCTTCCTGAATAAAGTGTGAAGCGTGTTCGCAGTTATTTCTATGTCTGACTTGATTACATCAGCTGAAATATTGTTAGGTCCTGTTGCCATCCCACTCTTGATTTTTCTGATGGTCATCCTGATTTCTTCGATTATTGGTGGAGTGACATCAATAGGGAGGTCTGTAGGTGTTGCTTCGATGTCCAGTGGGTTCATTTGAGTTGGTTTATTCAAAAGTTCCTCGAAGTATTCTACCCATCTGTTCCTCCGTACTTGAATCTCGGTGATTGGCTTTCCTCCTTTGCCATGACCGGTCTCTCCGGAGCATTGTTCTATTCGTAACCAGATTTTATAAGTATCCATTCGAATCTAACTTTTTCTATCCAGCTTGGGTTCAATGAGTTTCACTGGTTCCGAAAACCACCAAGTAGTATCTCCTGATTTCCCCAACTATTTGATTGGTTCTCCCGGTTTCCTACATTTTCCGAACATTCCATCTACCTATATTAATGGTTTCTCTGGTTGTTAGAAGAGGCAACGCCCTCATAACTTTCGAAGAATCTCGGCTTACATCATGACGTATCATAATTCTTCCATCAACCTACAGGTCAAAGTTTACATGGATTAGTATGTTTATTCTTGTTAGCGCATTTTAACAAGGTTATTTTCTACAGGATGGGGTTGCCTACTCCATGTCCAACCCTCCTCCTTTTACCTGGACTTGGGACCGTCAGTAGCCCGAATATATGTCTTTTGAAAACCATATATTTCAAATGAGAAAAGTGTAATGTATCTATGTAGAATTTTGGTTTTATTTTTTATTACATTTTCATTCATTCAGTTTCGAAATAGTTCATGATTTTTATATTTGAGGTTTATCGATAAAATTTCTAGCACGAATTACATTCTTTGCTATAACTATGGAAATAATACTAAATTTATTCAATGTTGTTATAATGCGGAAACAAATGCTTTTTCTTTAGTTACAAATGTACTTTCGAGTTTTCTTTGATATAAGATACTTGATATTTTTAATGTGAATACATTTTAATAGTAAATTATTCTCCCACTTTTGGAATAGGTCGTATTACGTATAAATTATTTAAGTTTCAGTTTTCCACTACGAAATCAATTTCATTAAATTGACCTTCATTTCTTAACTTTTTCTTTTGTTTTAGTGTACCAACATTTAGTAATTTACCAGATAGTACAATATCCAAATTAGCAGATCAATTGAATGAAGTTACTTATCGTCCAAATGAATATATAATACGTCAAGGTGCAAGAGGTGACAATTTCTACATAATTGCTGATGGCCATGTGAAGGTGACCATTTATCCAACAACAGAGAATGGAGTAATTGATCGTACAAAAGAGCCTCAGTTTGTACGTACACTAGGTAGAGGAGATTGGTTTGGTGAAAAAGCATTAACTGGGTAATTTCATGTTCATGAAGGCAGTGACTAACTTTTTTTCTCTCACAATGAATCGGTTGCTATTTATTACTAATTTGATTAATCGAATATTACCGTTACTGTATACATAGCTACCATTGGTTTGTAGCACAAAAAGCACTGAGTAAAACGAATTCTTTAACATGATAACTCTAGATTATTGTATGTAAGTTTTGTTGATATGAATATTGGTTTCGTTACATTCTCTGAGCTACACGGCTTAAATGTCAACCATTCATTGTTTTCCTGCACAACATTTCGAACAGAAGTTGGTCTCTCATACAATATTCCAACTGAAAACCACACAATACTTCAATATGAAATACTCCTAGTGTTCATTAATTAGCATTTAACTTAATCCATAAAATGATTACTTCCATTTTTATTCTTTAATTTAGTGACAACTTACGAACGGCCAATATTATTGCAACTGGAGATGAAGGGGTAACATGTTTAGCTTTGGATTTAGAGTAAGTCTCATACATTAAATTTTCAAGATAAAATTTGTTCAAACTCTATGTTTAGATTAATATCCATTATATTGAATAACAAATCAGTGGTTTGTCTGTTAAGATAAATTTTTCAGGGTGACTAATTTCTCTATTCGACAAGTGAACAAATAGATGAGATTTTGAATACTATGAAAAATATAGAATTATTAGAATAAACAATTTTTTAAATGGTTCAGTATACCGTTGTCGTACTCAACACAAAATTTGAGGGTCTTAGGTCCAGTCTTGTGTAGAATCATAGTCGCACGATTCTGAATGGTCAGAAAAAGATGACGAGAAACACATATATAGTGCTATTTGGTTTTAGACAACTCAAAATTCTTTGAAACCTTTTATTTTTAACAGCACTTTTTGTATTTCATCGGTTGTGTCAAAAATTAATTTCTAATAAGAAAAGCTATTCCAAAATGCTTATAAATTACGCTCTTTTCTTTGAAATTGTAATCACTAAGTACTATTCACAAGCAGCCAACATCGATTTCAGCAGAGTAGGTGAATTGAAAAAAAACAGGTACAGTCATCTTTTTGATGTTCACAAAAATTTGCGGTTTATTTATTATGAAAATGATTTAACATCTCATGATCTCTGTCGTGGAATCCGAAAGTTAACTTAAATTGTTTACATTAACTCAGTTTGACTAGCTCACTTGTTTTATACAATACAACTACTATGAAGTTTGCAGAAATGGTTTAATGAAAACAAATAACTCACGAGCGAGACTCATTCTTCTGGCTGCCCCTCTTGCTCACTCTCAGCACTGAATGATAGAGAAACTTAATAAACACTGAAGAATATATAATATTTTGCTCTCTCAAGGTGCTGAGCTTGAGTTATTGTATACTGAAAATTCTAAAATATCAACTAAAATCATTTTCTTCAGCCGACTGTGGTTGACGCTTCGTAAAGTAATGCATTTTGATAGTGAAATATTTGACTACTTTCCATTTTACTGAGTAGTATTTTTCTCAAAGTCAATAAAATTAATTGTTTATCAATTCCTTTTTATTCTTAGGTCATATAGCCTTTTGATTGCTGATTTGGCTGCATTAAAAAGGCGATATTCACAAGAAAAACCGCAAGAAACTACGTACGTTTTCTCAGAGCTTATGAAATTTTAAACAAAGTTTTAATCATAAAGTTCACAGGATAATAAATGAATTGACTTTTGACAGTTTCTCAGCAACTTAATTAAAGAGATGATATTGTAGAAAGATGTTGAAGCAACACATATGTGTTATACTTGTAACACCGGTTAATGATCTCAGAGCAGTGGTTATTTTACCACCTACATCAATATATTTGTAATATATAACATCAACATACATAAATTCACTTGGTATTGTTTACTTGAATCTTCCCATTGGTGTTTAGCACTGCAATTGATCAAACTCTTATTGGCATATGTGCATTTTTGCTTATCAATATGCATAGTTCCTTATTGCGAATTTATTTACAAAATACATACAATGATTTAGAATAATTTTAATTTTAATGCATCTATTATTATTCATTAATTAAACGTTTTGTGTTGTTCACAATAATGGTTACGACGAATACTTCTTTTACTTTTCCTGATTTACAGTCAGAATTGAAGAAAACGTTCAGGCTCTAAACTAAATTTTAATTTATAGATAGATTTTATTTATGGATTGACATCATCTAGAGCACAGAACTGATACTTCTTCTAAGATAAGGACACCCCAATAACTTTCACAGTTGTTTGGGTTTCAGAATACTTCCAAGTTCTAATGACAAGTCATGATTGGTTGGAGTTTGAACGAAACATGTAGAGAACAGTCTCCCACAAATCCAATGGAATTTTAGTCGCTCAATAATGCGACTTGAATAAAGTTACTGGTACAAATGTAACGAACTGGCTAAGAGATTTAATATTCTGAGCTCGATTACATATTGGATCATGTCTACGAGCTGTCGAACATTTCCACACTAAGATGAAGTATCTGTTTAGTCCTCAGTGCTTTACAATAATTCTCTAGCTGATATCAGTTGGTTACGACAGTTATCTGCAATATAAACTAGTCTCCATCATCCTCTTACGTTTTAAGGACGAGAACAATTTGATTGCTATAATATTCACAACTAAATATAGGTGAAAGGCACTTTAAAATGTTTTCCTTCGTTCAGTTATTAATTTCATTAAATACAACTCTCTTCATACATGTCAATTTATTTTATTCTATCTAGTGGCTTTTACATATGGTTATAAATTCTTGTACAATCCACTTCAACTTAGTAACCAAGTTCATCTTCGTGCACTTTACCTTAAGCCAGACTTCATTAGAAGAAAGGCAATTATGAAATCCTGTAAGTTAAGTGGAAATAAGCGGATCTGGATCCAGACCTACAACTCAGTGGCTGAATGTTTAGTGATCCAACTCACGTAATTCCTCTCTTCTTCCTATCCTTCAGATATGTTTGTAAAAAAACTCTCAAGTTGTGAAGTAACCACGATATACCAGATCTACAAATCAAATCAAGGAATCGTCCTTAATTATTCATACCGTATACACTGGTAGCAAGCTCAAGATATATGTAAGAGGCAGAACAGATATCAAGACTTGTCCACAAATTGAGGACAGTGATTAGGTTGCCATCAGGCAACATCATAAACAGTTCATTTAAAACAAATTTTTTTAGTAGTTTTGGCAGTTCATTTTGATATTAGTAATAAATATATGTATATAACGTACTGGTGAAACAGTTTTCTGAATATATATACTGTTAAATTCACCAACCAACTCAAAACTTTACTTTCATATATCAAATAAATTATATCCCTGTATTGTAATATTTAATCTACTACAACTGCTGTTGAACAATAAGTGAACCTTACAAAATATTCGTATTCAAGCTACAAGACTGGAATATTTCAGTATCATTCAGTATTTTTTCAGAAGGTTGTTGAGTATTTGCGAACATGTTACTTGAACATAACAAACTAATAAAGATCATTCGGTTTATACTAAGTAGAGTAGTGAACTTTATGTTAATATTTAAATCCAACTAAAACACAATCTCATCATTATCAAGTAGTTAAACTAGACAATTTAAGATAATTTCAATAAGATAACAAACAGTCGATGAGATCGGTTTTCTTCATATTACAATTAGATATCATTAGCATTCTTAAATGTGATAATTAAGAAAAAATGGTAAATTTCGAAGCAAATCAAGTAATACAATCCACTTTTAACTCTTAACTCTCAATCGTTCACAATCTACACGAATTAGTCTCTGTATATTGACCTATACTATCTAATCTAGTTCTTAGTTCGTGCAAAAATCTACCAATTATATTCGATTGCCAGTTCTCCCTGAACAACATCAATACTTTCCCAACCAACGTCAATTATCATAAAATCTAGATCCATAATCGCCAACATAATACTGCCATCTACTCTGAACTCCCAGTTTGTGTTGGTAAATCTAATGATTTAAATAATCATAAATTCCGGTTAGTTGTTATTATTATTATTTAGAGTGAATGAAAGCACTTTCTATTGTGTTGTTTTAACACTTCTTTTAGAATTGAAGAATATAAGCCGGAATTTCAAAACTTACGATTTCAAGATCTAAAAATTATGTCTACTTTGGGTTCTGGAGGTTTTGGTCGTGTTGAGCTCGTGAGTCATATGAAATGTATTTAGAGGATCTATGCAAACTTAATAGACCACTTTTTTATTTGACGTTTTGTTTCACATATTTTTCAGTTGCATGTGATTTCTTTCTAGTTTAATAGAAATTTGTTTTAATTTAAATAACTCATAAGCGGTTGAAGATAATTAGCACAAAGTTCAAGTCCAAAATTGCCTTATAGTTGGTACGTTTCAACAAGATGTATTTACAATCATGGGGAAACTAATAATTGCTTTGTGGTCTGTACCTATTTCAATCAATATCATAATCAGACATATTACCACTGAGATATTTGGGTTGTGTCCAGCCTGATGTATAGCTGAGATCCATAAAATCATCATTCTCAGAATACGAACAAATTTTGTCCAAATCTTAAGGTGCATTACAGCCATTAGCTAAGTTACTGCATAGTATTTAGTATGAAGATGACAGTTTGTAACACTGTATGAAAAAGACAGAACACAAGTATTCAGTGATAAACCTTGATTGATACTTTAGTGAACAAGAGAATCATTTTGTTTATTATCATGTAAACAAACTGTTCATCTTTGGAAACATCCATACAAGGTACTGAAGTGTCAAAAACTACGATACTTACACTCATTTAAAATGAGCATATGAGTAGATTAAGATGACTTGTGTTAGAAAGTTTACAAGCTGAACATTAAACAAAATTAGTTTTATGGACACCTTTAAACAATTTCAGATGAATGAATCTCTCTTTAATCCTAAACCGATTTATCACGATTTATTATAAACGAAAAAGCTTGGATCAGATTGCCAGGCGAAACGTTTGATTTACTTCAAATTCTTTCGCTAAGATTTTACAAATACGTTCTTCCTCTTTAATGTCTTATATCAAATCGGTGCCCAAATACTGTGAAACTATTCAATCAAATTTAGACGAAAGTTCGAAATACCTTTTGTTCATACTTTTTTTTTGATCTGTTAATCTCGTTGATTTATATTTTTTGCTTAATCTACAGGTAAGTATAGGAAGTGATAAGACAAAAACATATGCTTTAAAAAAGATGAGAAAACAGCATATTATTGAAACAAAACAAGAGGAACATGTAATAAATGAGCGTAATATCATGTTACATACAGATTGTGATTTTATTGTAAGGTGAGTGTTTCTATAGTAAAATGTGTTTGCTACTTTAAAATTTGATATTTATTTATACAGAATACATTATTTTTGTTTGCCTGATACTCGAAACTTTTCATATTTATGTTAAAATCCGCAGTAAACTGTAATGTCCAGTTAGTATTTCCATCGTACGGTGCTTGAATAAAGGTCTTACGATCTTCTATCATCTTTTCAAAATCAATCGATACAAATGACCAGACATCATGAAATAGGGTACTATTAAGTGTAGATATTTCGATTACTGTAGAAATAACATGTCCGACTGGAATATTTGGTTCCAATCACAAGAGGGGTTTACGGTTTCCTCATAATTGCGAATAGATCTTCTTAAAACGTACTAACAACAAATCGATTTTAAACCAAAGCCTTCTGCTAATTTTCATTAACATTGTTGTCGTTTTACGTAATATTTGTGAAACTCTTTGTAAAAGTTTGAAAAATTACAGTTCGGGCATAGTCTGACATAGAGTCTACTACTGAAGAAGAAGAAGAAGAAGAAGAAGAAGAAGAAGAAGAAGAAGGCTTAAGCTTGTTTCAGGGAATTTAAAATAATCTCAAACAAAGGCTTTTTGTTTCGTTCATCCAATTATATGTGACAATAAATCGATGAAATACTACTGCATCTGTAAAGACTATCATTTTATGTACCAGTTTATGTATGACAGACATTATTTCTCAGTGAATTTTATCATTCTTACTTGGTTTACCATGTATAACGAGAGGAATAAGATCACTTCGACAGTTCTACAACGATCGATATCAAAAGAGCGTTTAAAATTTTGTTTAAAAATATATTATTTTTGCTTTAAATTATCAATTTCTTGAAGTATGATTTATACTTAGTACTTTATTAGCTGATTCTTACACCTAAACAATTTAACATAAATCTATATGGTTGTCTGTCAAATAAGAAATTATTAGTTTTTCGATTGTTGTCAATTGCTGATTTCCAAATATAAGTAAAAAGAGTATAGACTGCCAAAATATTCACATTCCAGTGCTTTAAAACATTATGTGATTCTTCAAGATTCCATAAATATGTTTATCAAGTAGATCTTATCTACTGAATGCTGATCACCTTCAACAATACAACGAATGGCATTGATCAAACCTAAAAATAAAACATACAATTCATAAATATGACTGGAACATTGATGCTGTTCTTAGCCATGTCTCGTTGATTATTACTTATTTTAATGTTTAAATTGCGATTATAAGTGAGGATTTCAAATCATTTTGAGTGGTACTTTGTGAATGATTACTTGATCACAGATGATGTTTCAAATCACACACTGAACATGTAAAATATGAAAACAATACATTCAATACATTATATGCTTATCTTCCTTGAGTTTTCCCTTTCATCCCTGTTGTTATTTTAATTGCTTTCTGTTTTACTTTTCCTTCTCTTCACTTTTCTCTTCTGTTCGTAAGAATTCTACTTTTGGTTCTCAATACATACTACTTATATCTGTCCGTACAAGTAGTGCACACGATATTTATGGTCACAACTGCACAAAAAGGTTAAATACGTTTAGGTAGCAAACATTACATTAACTAGCTGAGTAGCCTTATGGTCATTTAAGGTCACATTTTTGGTAGTGACGAGTGTGACTGCTATTTTTTTTAATTTCAAGATGTTACTGTTATGCAATAACTCATCAATCTGTAAACATTGATCCATGTGATATTTTAGTCGCCTAACAACAAAAGCTAACACTATTTAAATTGATCTCTTGGAGTTTTAAGTATGTTGTTTAATCATGTAAGCATCAATTTTCGTAATACCAAGTCTAGTTAATGAACATCTTCATGGTCAAATAAACTTGAGATTTAAACTTCAAGCATATTCATTTCTTTTTAAAAAATTTAAGTTAAACACTAAAATGGCAACATCCGTCATAAACATATTATCATTATTTATATAATTTATGAATAAAATACCTTTGTATTCTTTTGTGCGATTCGTAAAACAATAATTGATCATTCATTCTCAAATAAAATTAGTACAAATAAATTGATTTTTAAACCGTGAAGCATCTTTTCACATGGTGATTATTAATAAGGGATCTCTTACAATTAAATAGTAAAATTGTTGATTGTTTTTTATTTTGTGTAACCTTTATATCTTTGATTTCAATTTAATTGGACATAGTTTTACACCTTCTTGTTACTAATCATGTACGTTTATATTGATCGATTGTTTGTAAATATATTCATTTTGTTCACTTACTATTGTTTTGCTTGAATCTTCCCATTGAAGTTTAAGACTGCAATCGATCAGTCTGTTATTGGCATATGTGCCTACTGTCCGTATTGCCTCAATACTACCTTAATTCACAAGCTTTATAAACAGAGGTGGGTAGTGGTTATCAGTGGAATCCAGGGAGCGAAAACAAGTGACTATCAGGACTCAGTAGCTGAATGGATAACGCGATGGCGTTTGAATCGAATGGTACTGAGTTCGAGTCCCAGAGTAAACATCAACTCTGAGATGTAAGTACATTCAACTGACGAGTCCAAAATGGGACGAAACTCGCGTCGTAGATTCCACTGCTAGCCGCTATCCATCTTTGCTTATATTCGTTCTGTGTTTTATTCTTAAAAACATATTTATCTCCATAGTACTGAAACAAGAGGGTTGCTTGTATGAAAATAGTTAAGAAACATTAAATATTAAAAAAAGTTTTAATTTTTGACTTAAAATCAATATTCAACCTAAATGAATTTCTGTCATTCATCTAAGCAAAATTATTGGTATTAATGTTAAAAGCTGTAAGAGTTTGTACTGTTCCCTTTAAATTGAAAACAATAAAATTTAGGGAAAAAACAGAATTCATATTCTAATCCCTAACTTCTCATTGAAAGTATACAATTAGTGGGGTTACTGGTTTATTGACCCCCAAAACACAACGACGATGATGATAATTCTGTATACGGATTGTCAGAAATAATTACACTGATTTTCGTCCAATTACTAGCTGACCTTGGTTCTTTTTTTTCACTCCGTCGCCACCGATATGTCTTGTCGATTAAATACAAGAATATTGTATATTATGCAGAATAAAATATCATACAGGAAAACAAAACAAACACTATACTGAATAATCATCATATTAAATCAAAATGGAAGCAATGTTGAAGTAAAAATCATAATGAGTAAATCAATCGAATTTCGACTTTTCTTCCCATCATATCACCTTCCCTACTATTTTTGAAGAATCGAAGTTTGGATCCTGACTTTATATTTCTTCCTCCCCCACGAAATAATGTTGGGTCATCATATCCTCAAGTTACAGTCAATGTGACTCTATTTAAAACATATTTCCAGTATTGAATAGAGAGTCGACTAGAAATGACTAGATGATAAGGATCAACGACACTTGATATGAGGTCATTAGGGTTTGATTCTTCTGAAAAATTTTCATCAAATCTGTTGAAAATCTCATTAGTATTTAATGAATCACTAGGATAATCAGCATCTATCAAAATTTCATTGCGTTCTTGATCATCATTTGATGCATCCGACATCTCTTTTCTCATTTTTGTAAGAAATTTGATCAAAAACTTGTGAGTCATTAAGATAACTCATATCTGATAAAGCAACTAGAGAATCCCGATAAGTAGATTTATCAGGAACTTTTGTCGCTGCATGATGAGCTTCATTTGGTGCAAATGTATTATGTTGCTTGTGTTATTTTCTGTTTTTTCGTGGGCGGGTACTGCAACAATTTCATGAGCATTTAACCTGACATCATCCTTATGTGAGTTGTAAAAATCAGTGTTTGTACATTATGTTTCGGAAATAATGGAATTTGAACCCACTGCAGGACATGTTTGTGAAACGGACATTCTAGGACCACTGAGCGGATCATGTATGATTGCTACTGTTTCGTTTACATTACTGCTTGTCGAGGATTCATGGAGGCCTACACTGGCACATGCACTCATTATGCAATCATTTTCCAGCTCTGTACGCAATTTAGAAATTAGTTCATTAACTCCCGTCACATCTCCAAAGCATGGATGATTCGGCAGTCGTGTGCGTAAAGTGTCTATAAATTCAACTGATTCTTTTTAAAACGCTGCTGTTGTCTCTGAAATAGCAACTGCAATTGATTGGAAGGGAGAGCCAGTTTTTGTTTCTGTGCGAATCAGTACGGTAATGAAAAATACTGTATGACTAATTAACAACCACTGTCGTTCAAGGATACCGACAATGAATTACATGACTTGAAAAAAGGTTTAACATACTTTCATTAGTGAATCTGTCATGAAAATTCGAGACGAGATAGAAAACCTTAGAAAAATGATAGAGAATATGTAATTAAACCAAATTACTTCAGACTAAATCACTTTTATTTGTCAAGAATCTATATGAAGTGACGGCAACGTAGTTACAAATAATAATATTGACAGTAATAATAATAGAGTGATTAGATAATTAACCGGTGTAACAGGGATTAAAATTAAGTTTTGAGTATGTCTTAATGAATAAGTAATGGTTCAGTTACGCAATAAGTGAAGTTGCTTTCTTATACATAGTATGACCAGAGTAACAAAATGTTTATAATAATTTTCATTTATATTTAAAGTTCAAGTCAAGAAAAACTTGATGATAAAGGCGTTTGGTTCTCATCTTTCAACTCACTGATTTGACTAGTTTATCATAAAAGATTTCTCAGCTTAAGAAAACAATACTGTTCACTTAGGCTTCTACTTTTTCCTCTCTATTTTGTTGTCGCTTCTTTTTCAGACTATGCAAAACATTCAAAGATAATAAATATGTCTATTTACTGCTTGAAGTATGTCTGGGTGGTGAACTTTGGTCTCTTCTAAAGGACAAGTGAGTTGACAATTAAATCCATCAAGGGACTTCAATTTCTTTTCAGCATACATTAATCTTGTTTTTTTTATATGATACAGTTATTTCCTGATAAACAGTTAGCGCCGATTGCTGTAAAATTACGAGCGTCCATTTTCAGTATTAGAAGTTCAAAATGTGAGTATTACTTATTACTCACCTTTGAAACAGGTGAAAACTGATTCAACATTATGAACTAAACTAATCAGCTTATACTGCTATTGAATTCTCGTTTGACTGAACAAAATGATCTATTTGTGCTTCACCAATTGGATCTAGCTAGATGACAACTATGACTGATGACTATGGTTTCTACTTTCGAATACTATTAAACAATAATAAGCCAAAAGTATTCTCATGGAATATTTTTGTTTAAATTTCTCTTCGTCAATAATTCTGAAGTCCATACTGATATTTCCATTTTATTGAGAGTTTTTCAGATTATAAATCATTGTGTATGTTAACGTATTTATCTTTAAGTAACAATAGATTTATTCGTATCAAACAAAAGTTTATAAAATCCTAAGTTTCATGACATCATCACAATTAGCCACTGACAAGAAATAATTGAAAATTAAACCATCACTACTAACTCCTACCTTAAAAGTAATGTTCCGTTAGCTAGTTATTTTTTGAGGTAAGTATAAGATATTTTTCTAAGAAGCTGTGACAGATAAAACTCGATCATATTGGAATTTGAACAAATACCATAAATGGTATTAGATGGCTAGCCTACAATACCGTTGGTTGGTTGAAGGTGAAAAAGTCAACCATTGGGTTCCGACTCATCTACTTGAAGACAACGTGATCCATTTTAAATTCCAAGATCTTTGGTTTAATCACTTGAGTCATTCGTATGAATCACTAAGGTCTATTGGTACAAAAAGGAGCACCCGTCCAGCTCCCAGAGATTATTCAATCTTTTCTCCAGCTTAGATTAAACCGTGATAAAAACTAACTTCGTTGAGACTATAATTTATTGACGACCTTCGAGCGAAGCCAAAGTGACCTTGAGAGTATCTATCTAGTTACTATAGCTAAGTGAGGGTTATAAACCAGTGTGGGGAATCAAAATTATGATTTACAGTTGATGGTTAAGGTTAGGAATTAGATTTAGAGTTTTCATTACGAACTGACATGAGCTATAATGCCAAAACTCTACTTAACCAAATGGATGAGTGAATTTCGCTCCAAAATCCAAGACCTATTATCTTATATTTGATTGATTCGCTTATAAATTATAATTTCGACCTAACTTCTAATTAAAACGTCTAAACTAAGTTACTTTATAGAGTTTTTAGTAGCTTTTTTCAGTTAGATTTGAAATGAAGCAAATTTCTGTTATATTCACTGTACTATAATTAGACTTTGAAATAAACTGTTAGATTTAATCCAAATAATCAAGTATAGATACATTAACTACTTTTCTAGTATATTCACAATGAATGTTTCCTTGTTTAAGCATTTTTCTAATGACACTTTCGTGATGAATATTCGGATAATAAGGTGTCATTTAAAACCGACATGAAGAAAGGAAGAAAGGAAGAAAGTTTGTTATCATGCAATAGGCATCCTATGCAGTGAACATACGAGATCTAACTGTAAACCACCGAGTTTAATACCTGAATGGTATTTTCTATTTGTAAAAAAAAATTGAGATAGTGCAACAACCATATAGTTTCATTATTATCTGTTTATTAACCTTATCATTTTGTATAACCAAAGATATGGTTTATTATTGTACACTAGAACTAATTTAAATTTAAAAATAATTTTCATGGCAAATCATTGGAAACTAACGAACATTCGACAGTTATTTATTGAATATAAATGGAAATCAATGAGTCTCATCATAATCAAACTATACCTTCAGGTCTTATAAAGAACAATTTAAAATAAAGTCAATTTCCGAGTGATATAACATGATTTTCATTTACTATAATAGATGATATAGTCAACTCCTTAGATTACCGAATCTCTTCATCCATTAGGAATTGATTAAGGCTAAAAGCGACTAACATTTAATTTTGTTAATAATAGCTAAATAATATCATCGTTACCTTAAGATCTGGAAAATTATCCTTAAAGTAAATAAATTTCTATCCAATAGTTTTATTTGTATTACTATATATCGATTACAAATGTATTAGAAGGGGTTTTGTGTAGATTGTAGTAATTTCAGTAGTTAAAATCGAGTCGACTGAAGCTAGATCACCATGGAAAACCTGGAAGCACTGAACGGTCGTTTCGTCCTATTGTGTGACTCCTCAGCAGTGCGCATCCACGACCCCACCTCGCAGGATTTGAACCCAGGACCTATCAGTCTCGCGCACAAGCGCTTAACCTCTAGACCACTGAGATGGCTGGGATCCAACGGTGTTTATGTCTCACTTCAACTAATCCACAAAATTGAGCGACTCATTCATCATTGTCTTCAGTGAGTTACTATATCACAACTCACCCGGTTGGACTCCATTGGTCACTGCTTCTCACTAAAACTCCTGGATATACCTTTTGAAGCCAGTCACTAGTGAGCATATGTTGATTCATATCAGAAGGGTTTTTGTGGGGATTGTAGTAATTTCAATAGTTGATATCATAAGTCAATTGACAATGTAATAATAATAATAATTTTGTTTTATTGTTTATATCTTTTTAGTAATATTCGAAAAGTTGTACTAGATAAATGATTTTATTTATATTAATTACCTTACACACAAAATGCTTTATTCTACATGTATTCACTTCTCTTCTTTATACAAAATATGAAGGAGAACAAAAGGGTTTGTTTGTAAAACATACGTGTGTTTTTTTCTTCTCAATATCTGCATGAGATTAGTTGTTTTGCCGTGATTTCCAATTATTGATTTATTTGATTATCCAATTTTGAAATTTACCAAACAAAAATAAAAACATTTTTCACACTTTTTATTTCTCTTGATAAATTGGAATAAAGGAAGGAGGTTCTTGTCAGTTATGAACAATATTTAACTTACTAAGTTCTAATTATATTACTGGTGAGACTATAATTTATGGACGACCTTCGAGCGACGCCGAAATCACATTGATAGTGTCCACCTAATAACTAGGACCAAATAAGGGTTAGAAAACACTATGGATAATTAAAATTATGATTTACAGTTGATGGTTAAGGTTAGGAATTAGATAAAGGGTTTTCATCACAAACCGGCATGAGTTATAATGCCAAACCCTTATTTGACCGAATGGTTGAGTGAATTTAAGACTTGATATCTTATACCTGATTGATTTGTCCATTAATTATAATCTCACCGTATCACTTTTTATAACTTTATTCTGAATGCAGCTGTTAAGAAACTTTCAAATGGAATGAATTCACGGGATTCAGTTAATCTTGTTGTTGTGCATTCCTTCGAATGGTCTAATAAATGAAAAAAGCATCTACTAACTCATTATTTATTTTATCATGAGGTTCATGATTGTGATTGTTTATGTTATTTTCTGATTTCTGTTTCATACATTTTGGTTACTACTAAAGTTAAAAAAAACAGATAGCCTCATTCACTCCAAGCTTAAGATTTCCTGCTATAAGAAGTTTGAAGAGTAACATTTTCGAGAGTTTCCACTTGAATATGAAAAGATATGACATCAACAATAAGAATTTGGATAAGATTAAGAAGGGAGCTAAAAAGCCCATCTATTCATACTTTTGATAAAATGAAAACGAGTAAGTTAAATAATCTAACAACTGAGGTTTATGATAAATACAGACTTAGACAAAGAATTTCGTTAATTACTACTGCATACCTGGTCAAATTGATTTCCATTGAGTAAATTGATATCACGTAACTTTATATGATGTATAGAGCATAGCAAACTCCATGAATTTAATGATTTTCTGTTTTATAACACAGTACGATTCAATGCTTTTGACATTTTTATTGAAGCTTTCTTTACGAATTTCACTAGCTTTATATCTTCATAGACTTTAAATTGAAAATGATTTGTCATGCAGAAGTAAAATATCATGTTGAACTGATAATTTGTCTAAAGCAACAAATCGAAATATGGGTTTGCAATTGTACACAAGATCACATACAGGACATAATAACCATGTACTTAACACTGCATTAAAGAATAGTAAATGTCAAAAAAAATTTGAGCAAACGTTGAACGTAACAATCTATTAGCAGCTACAATAGTATACTCTGAATCACCCTCCTGAGATGCAGCTTAGATTACTGAAAGACAAATTTCTAGAGAAAAAGATACATCATTTAAGATATAAGATTGCTACAAAAAATTCATTACATATTTGTTAATTCACCTGTTCTTATAGATGGTGCTCATTGTGTCTAAATAGTTCAAGAGCATTAGTTTGTGCAGTTGAAAAGAGGCAGTGACAGATGCATAATATGTGAAATAATAAGCATTTTGTTAATATATGTGGTTCAGTTACAATAGACTAATATTTCAGTTATCTAAAAATTAAAAAGAAACTTACCACCGATAGTACATCTTCACCTCCTGTGTATTATTGAAATTTTCTTCTACATACAGTAAGTCTCAAAATGAATGAACTAAAGAACTCGAACAACTCACTCCACTATGGTCTTACTTTCTAACATGAGAATTCTACTACCACTCTCCTTTAATCCGTTAATCTTTTCTTACATGTACATTGATACTGTTTCATTAGTTTATTTTTCGTATAGTAAAGTAACATAGTTTAAGACGTCTTTAAATATAATAAGATTTGTGGGTTGGTTAAAGTTAGACATTAACACCATGGGATGCCGACTCAGTGGTCTAGAGGTTAAGTGTTCATGCGCGAGACCGAAGGTGGATGCGTAGTATTGAAGAGTCCCATACTAGGACGAAATTGCCGTTCAGTGCTTCCAGGTTTTCCATGGTGGTCTAGCTTTAATTGGCTCATGAATTCAATTATAAAATAAATAATTCTCATTTAAAATGGAATCATTAGTAAGATATAATGTAAAGTTTTTATGTTCTAAGAATATAAAAATTGCATGATCATCTCACAGATTTATTGTTCATGAACCGTTTAACTAAAATAAATACTGAAAACTTTTATATTTATTAAGCAGTTAACCAAATCTGATTACATTATGACTTTGTGATTGATAAAAACGGTGAGACTATAATTTATGGACGACCTTCGAGCGACGCCGAAATCACATTGATAGTGTCCACCTAATAACTAGGACCAAATAAGGGTTAGAAAACACTATGGATAATTAAAATTATGATTTACAGTTGATGGTTAAGGTTAGGAATTAGATAAAGGGTTTTCATCACAAACCGGCATGAGTTATAATGCCAAACCCTTATTTGACCGAATGGTTGAGTGAATTTAAGACTTGATATCTTATACCTGATTGATTCGTCCATTAATTATAGTCTCGCAAACTAGTTCTTTATAAAATGACCAACTACGCTACCAAAAATAATTAATTACATTATAATTACGCAATAATTTTCACAATTACTATAATTACTAGAATATCATGTAATTAAACGAATATCATTTTTGTTAATTTGATGTATTTATATAGTCTAGTATTATTAAACGATAGCATTTATCACAGATTGAAATAAGATATAAAGCCATTGAAATCCAAAGTGATATTAAAAAATAATTTCGTCTTAATTTGGAACTGTTCAATAGTAATTTTCAGTTATGAATTCAAACAAGATTCAATCAAAGAATTATGCGCCACTGTTAATTAATTCACCAGATCATTAAGTTGTAATTTCATAAATTATAAACCTTCACTTTAAATATATCCTGCTTAAAATTAATACACACACTTATAACATTACTGTCGAGGCACGTTCGGTCTACAGTATCATATTTATCATAAACATCAATTTCATCTTACATAACAGTATTACAACAATTTAACAATCAGTTTAGTTCTTTCAATTATTAAACGGTTTATTTTCATTTATCCTATTCATTATTCTGTATTTCATTTCCATTTAATACTTTAATAATTGAGTGTTGATTTCCCTATATGTTTCTATATTGTATAAATAGATATTTTTTCACGGAACAAGCTACACAGTTCTATGTGGCATGTGTAGTTGAAGCATTGGATTACTTGCATAGGAAAAATATTGTGTATCGTGATTTAAAACCGGAAAATATTATGCTGGATACACAAGGATATTGTAAACTAGTAAGTATGAATATAGATTTTGATCTGCCTTATAGATCAAGTGATTAATCACTATATTATTAAGATTAATGGATAGATATTTTTCTTAGTCTTGAAACTTTTAACTACCATTTAGAGACGTAAACATAGTTTGTAAGTCAGAAAATTTGTGGAGATCGTTTAGCAACAATTTACCTTTTACTTTAAACTGATATAATCTAGAAAGATATCAAAAATTATGGATTAGTGGATGGCTTGTTTAAGATTTTGTCTTAGACCCTTTAGTGATGTGCACTAATTGCCCAATATGTGGTGAAAACCAGTATCTAGTGCTTAGTACGAATTTTTAGTAAATCTATCGAAAATTTGATGGTTCGTATTTTCTGTGTGTAAGCAAGTCAGAAAATAAAAGTGGATCTAAACTAGTCGAATCAACAGAACTTGATTATACTGGACAATATATCATCAATGGCATAGAATGGTCGTCTTTTATTATTGATTGTTCAAAGTTGAAGATGTGGATCATTAGATTGCTGCTTAGTTGTCTAAGTATGACGCACTCGAATTGTAAGTAGAAGATTCTTGGAATCATTCAGTCGGTGTTCGTATGTGTGCATCACAAAGTAGTCCTAAGCCTAGATGAGACAGTTATTCATTTGTTTCGTCTTAAAAATTAACCAGTGGAAAATTTTCCGAACTAGATACTCCTATGTTCATTACTGAATAACCGACTCTAATAAAGGTTAACTTGTTATATTTTGTGTTTCCTACTCCTAAAATGGTTTCTTTATTTTTCTAACTTTGCTGTAATAACCACATTAACACATACAGACAGATCTTGGATTTGCTAAACAGTTACCATATGGAGCTAAAACATGGACATTCTGTGGTACACCAGAGTATATGGCACCCGAAGTAATATTAAATAAAGGTCATGATATTGCTGTTGATCATTGGTCATTAGGTGTATTGTTATTTGAACTACTGACAGGCTTGTAAGTGTTCTTGAATATTATTATTATTATCAATGTTATTAAAACACGAATTCTTTACTTTTGTTTTGAAATAAATTTTACTCCAATATATTTACACTCTAATCGATAAATGATCGGATCTTCCACCGTTAACTTCAATTGTTTAAAACTGTCATTTTTGTTAAAATGATAGCCAACCAAATGAAACTAAGCTGTGGAACTCTCTACATATTGTTATAAAATGACGTCAACGGTTAATAGATGATATCAGAAGTTACCAAAGTTCTACTATTTCAACAACTACTTATAATATCGATAATTATGTTATGATTCTGATATAACAGATTATTTCAGATATTTCTCTCTCTCTCTCTCCGGTACACTACGATAATACGTCAATACGATAATGAGACTGGTCATGTAATTATCAGATATACGATTCACAACCAAGAACAGAGAACCAGATTAACACTAGATAATACTTTATTCAACGCAGTTACAAGCAGTCACCTTCAGTGAGTCTAGAGTATAAATCAATAAAACTAAAGGGAATTTTATAATTAATAGTTACTAGGCCGAGTGTCTGTTTGTCCAATCATATTTGTCTCTCACTAACACATATCAGATTCTCAAAATTGCTGAACTCAGAACGAAATGGAACAAACAATCTTTGATGCCTGACCTCATATATGAATGACAATTAAATTCATCAAGTTATTTATTTACATTCTTCTTGGATTCAAGAATTTAGTTTCTAGTATTCTGGTCATACAATGTAACACCCAGGATCCTCATTATAAGTTCATATAATTCTGTTATGAATCCTCTCTATTATTGTATAAATATCTATCGATAACTACTTTAAAGTAAATCAACACACTGAAATCTCAAAACTATTTATTCTTTACATAATGACTTACTATAAATAAGTTATTTTAAAAAATATTCCAAGAAACCACTTTGTGAAACCTCTCAAAGTTCACATTAAATCCACTATAATGGTCCATTTTGCTATCATAATACCTTACAGATTAACCCTTTTAGTTACAATGAGGTGGATGGAGGTGCGTATTGCATCAGCTTAAACTTCATATCACTTAAAACTTCATATAAAGACATAACAGTCTAGTAATAATGTTTGTATCAGTGGCCTTAGGAGATACTACTTCAAAACCGTAAACGGAAGCTTTATTTTTGTCATGCTGGAAGAAATTTCAAATCGAAAACCAACATAAATGTTCTGCCGAGTTACATTTTATTTACATTCGTCAACAGCTTAACATCAAACAAAATGAACTATGATGTCGAGCGACTCATCCAAGTGGTCCTATTACAAAGCCGATAGACAGGGTTTAATTATTATTTGAGAATAAACAAAATTACATTAGTTGTGATAATGGACAGGTAGAAGTTACAATGCATTGATAAATAGAACGTTCTCGTCAGTTTGAAAACCCGCCCCATTGAACCCCAGGTTACTGAAAATGAAGCTCAACATATTATTGTATAATTAATTTCAAAATGAATTGAGCAATAAATCACTTCACCGGTTAATAAATGGCAACTTTGTCAAGTATTTGACGGCTGTCGACAAGAAACCCTAGACCTAGCTTTCGTGCCACTTAGCAATCATCAGTAAGATGTGTGTGTAACCCTGAGGGATTTAATGCTCCCTGGAGGACTCAACCATATGTCACCCAAATTTAAAGTCAGCGAAGTTACCATGAGTTATTCATGCAGTGACTGACCTCTCGTAGGACTAATATACTTGTGATTGATTGGTCAATACTCAGTGGCCAAGCAATTATAAATAGTAGTTTATTGAATATAATCAGAAAAGTCAAAGTGATGACAGTTTTCAAAGAGCGTAAATGTGGTTTTCATCACACACTGATATTAGTTACAGAACCACTGTAAACCATTAAGCAGTGGACAGTTACTTGGTTCCAGTTTGAGACTATTCAATAGTCTATATTCTCGACTCAATGTCGGCCTGATATTTTTGAATGGTTCATAACATTTGAATTGATGAAAGATAAAATTTCTTTCTTTCTGAAGCTGCTTCTGAGATTGTGGTTCAAGACTTAAAACTAACCAATATATTTAATAAAACGCAACACCATTTCTTTTCAGAGTTATGTATATAAAAAGGTAGAATTTTCCCCAGATTGAAGAATGATTTGTTCACAAAAATCGTTCAGTTTTTCTCACACCGAATAACCATCATCAGGTGATTTCGGTTTCATTCGACTTGCCTATTGAATCTGGTAGCTAATATAGGCATGTAAGGGTTTTTGTATATTACTACACATCTATACAATAAACCAGATATATTTTAAGAACAGATAATTATTTTAATAAACTATATGAGTGGTAATTGTTAAGCTGTACTATTAATTATTAATCAATTTCATAGTCGATATAACTTTTCCCATAATATTGATATAAAGTACTGTGAATGGAGTTATAAATGGATCATAGGAAATATATAAATGTGACTCATTTTACAAATGCAGATTTATGCGCTTCGCTTACAGTATCAATTTACTTTTTATTCAACATCGATTCCTTTATTTCAATAACAATTTTCCAACACAGACCACCATTTGAATCACCAGATACAATGCGCACATATGGAATTATATTAAAAGGAATAGATGCTGTTAATTTTCCAACAAGAATGTCAAAAAATGCTCAATCTTTAGTTAAAAAACTTTGTCGGTAAGTTCATTTATTTATTTTTAATAAATTACTCGATGTTATTAGTTCTTTATACGTGCAAATAAACGATGTAAAAACATCCAGTAAATTCTGCTTTAAAACGTTTTTCGAAAGATACTTCATATTGTTTAGTTTTGATGTAGTATCACCAATAAAATACCTACCTTTTGAGGCTTATTACATAATCTGCTTTTTAACCATTAAACATCATTTCAATTTTCGATCACACACGCCTTTGACTGTTGATGTTGAACTTGTGGAAACCTCCCATTAAATCTATTGATAGATATATGTTTCATAAAGTTTGTAAGGAAATGTTTTATTTCTCCTAACTTGATTAGGTACGTATATATTGGTTTGTAGATCCAGTTACAGATTTTATAAGCTGATCATAGTGCATAATGATATCATACACACTAATGAAATAGTTATTTCACTGCTTGTGTGATCCTTTTTTACAAATGACACAAATAATTCAATCCTAATTGGATAAGCGTAAGTAGATATGTTTGCTTATTGTCAGCTGTTTCACATTTGACTCCTCATCCTGTCAGTCGTCTCTAAAATACAATAACTGCTGTGCTGTTCTGATAAAAACAGGATGTTTTACTAACATGGGTAATAGAAATATGATCCCACTTAGGGCATTGCTGAGTTGTTACTGAATGGCTGCTATGCATTTGAACAACAAAGAGTTCCTCCAGCAACGTTTCGTTTCGATTTCTAGTAAAAAGCATAGTCGCACAAAAAAGACTGTAAAAATATATTAGTGCTGATAGTGAAAGGAACAGTATAAACAAAAATCACATTTTGGGCTGTCAAACGATTAAACATAAATTTTTCTACTACTCATAGTAACGATACTGAACTGTGTTTTGTGAATTCATTCATCGAATGTTTTTACACTCAACTATACCTGGGTCAAATAAAGTATGAAGGAATGAATCTTGTTCTTAGGTCAAAGGTTCTACTTAGGCGTACTACCTCTTCTATTCACTAGAATTTCTCTATTCAACTAGTAATTTATATAAGCTTATTTTAATGTTGTCATGAACAATATTATTCATCTCATTTGTTCGTCGTCATCTTTAATTTTCACAGTGAAAATCCGACTGAACGATATGGCATAGGAAAAGAAGGACTACGTGAAATCGAAAGGCATGTATGGTTTGAAGGATTCGATTGGGTTGGATTACGTAAACGAGTATTAAAAGCACCATATGAAAGACAAGTGATTCAACATATTTTTTTAATTAGTAGAATCAGTTCTTAACATATTTAAATGCCAGCTTAAACACTGCATATGTTAATTATATTTCAAAATATTTTTAAATTGCCATTTTGTTCATTATGAATAGCTGACATTTTATTTATTTATTTATGTGAACACATAAATATCGGTACAAAGGGGCACACACGTGTTAGTTCATTTGTGTGTTAGCTGTGATACTGCCCGTGTGTCCAGACTGAAACAGGTGGTTTCTTTAGGGAGCCACACACAGAGCCTTCGACCAAAAAGTCTGATCCACAAGCCAGTGGGGCAACTTTAGGAGATGCACTCTCATGGTAGCTGGTGACCAACATTTGGTTCGTACGCCATTTGTTCCTTCAGGATCCTGGAGCTCATGTGCACCATCGATTTGGAATCAGGGTTTCCCAACTCTCCTAGGTGGACCCTCCGTATCCACCAACCCGGGTAAAGTACCGAACATTTGCGTTTCGTTCTCTCAATTTCGTAAACAACACCCTTGCCGCGAGAAGGACCTCCCTGGCAGTGGCTGTATACGCGTGGCCATGTGAGTGCATTTCGAGATGGAGAGCTAACTCTCCTCGCTCTCGGCCATACCAGGAAATTCGGGGGCCTAGTTGACATAATTTGCAAAAACTTTACAAACCTTAATCTGCTCAATATTATTCTCAAATCTCATTTCTAACGACTGAAGATCAGAATGTGAATGTCGACTTGACTCTTTGTTCATTTGAAAGATGATATTTGAGTGTGTAACACTCTTGTACCACTAGCTCCAGAAACTTTAAGTGACCTCGTCCAATCCTCATTATGTGTAGATCTGAACAACAAATTTGAATATTTCGGTAAGGAAGTTTTAAAGCATTATATGACGAATAAATAACATGACGTTATTTGTTATTTGGTGACAAACTGGCATGAAAACCACATTCCTACAGGATGTCAGACGCAGTCCTTACAGATTAGTATAAAGTTACCAAACACAGCAGTGAGCGAAGCGGGTTCAATTTACATGAATAGCATTTTTTCTCTCTGAACTGCATACACATCTTGACTATGAGTTTTGAGCAGCACGAGTCTCAGGTCGAGATTAAGATGTCTCAAAATTTGGAGCACTTGAGTTCCTAGCATATAATGATAAGTTTCAGGTCTGTTCCATGCACTTACGTCTGAGCAGACAGCTAGTATTGTAGCGTATGTGAACTGATGGGCGTAAAACCAACTCATTTTTTAATTCAAAACTGCATAGTGCTTTCGTAAAACATGAAAACCATGCAGTCAATACATTATTTGCACATCTTTGCTCTGTCCTTTGTATACTCCACTATTCTTCTAATTCTATTGCTATTTTGATTTCTCTCCGATTTCCTTTCAGTTCTCTTTAATTCGATCTCCTGATGACAGGTATTTCACTTCCAAATGCGGTTAGATATTACTTATATCTCTCAGAATAAGTAACATAGACCACGGTATCATTGTTTAGGAGAAAGAAATATATTTCTCAGTTCCAACACGTGATCTATTAAAATATTTTTGACTTGGAAATTAGATCCTAGAGGGATCAAGTGAATATGTTTTACCTTTTACATAAAAATACTAATAAGTATTCATATGACATGAGGTTTTGACTGAAGTTATTTTTCTATTACCTAGTTCACTGCGGTAAATAATTGTTTATATTATTTATTTTGATAATAAGATTACCTAGTTAACATATATTTCACTTTTTTAAAGTTTCACTTCATTAAGACACATAATCGAGGATATTATTTCAGTTTTAAACGGCTTCGCCTGGAAACTTATCAAAAAACCAAGTAGCATGGAAAATTTAGTTCTTTCTGAACTGAAGTTTATCAGCAACATTCAAATACGTCCACATCTATGAATAAATCTAGAAACTTCAGTTCTTACTTGCATTATCGTACTTAGTCAGAATTAATTTGTTTGAGTCTACAGCTGATTTGTTCAAAGGATGGCAACATCTAAATAATCTTGTGTATATTTGTTTAATATAACATTATGTTAAGATTTTGCTCATTTCTCCACTTTTTTCTCTTTTTTAAACAAGGTAACGTCACAAAGTGATCTCAGACACTTCGATGAATATCCAGAAGAAACAGAAGAACCAGAAGATGAAACATCGGGTTGGGACGAATCATTTTAATAAAAAAATGGCGAATAAACAGTGGATGAATGAAAATGAGATGGAAATTGTTGTTCTTGATACTTATATCATGCATCTAACTAAATTCAATTTATGCAAGAAATATATTGAAATGTATCTGCTAACGTAATTTGGCAAAATGCGAAATGTCAAACTCATTGAAAAGTCAATAAAAAGTCGGTTATCATAATTAAGTAATTAATTGGTCATTCGAAGGAATAAGAAAACAGTCAGAAAAATTCCTTTTCTCTCTTTTTCCAGTCTTGATTTTACAATATTTGTGAGATATCGTGTTCAAGATGGTGACGTTGAGTAGAACTCGACTATCGAGGTTAGGATAACAATTTATGGGTGAATTAGTCTGATTTAAGATACCATGTGTTGAACCGTGACATAACAGAAACGGTAATCCTCATTCTTAATTTTAACTTCTAAGGTTAATTATTATTTATTTGAACACATAAACATTGGTAAAAGGGGGCACTAAATACATATGCGCCACACAATAATAATGAGGCCAGTAGCAGTTATCATTGATATGTGTGAGGGCTGTGATATTGCCTGGATGCCCAAACCGAAACAAATTAACTCTTAATTCTAACTCCTGACTCTGATTCATATATTTGCATAGTTAACTGAAATAAAAGACACCTGAGTGACAATTTAAAGCCTGGAGAACAATCTGTTGACTAACGTTACCTCATTCATATTTTCACTTGACTTAGTGAAGAATCTTTATACTTTCTCTGACTGCTTTTCAAACCCAATCTGGTATCTTTAGTGTGTCAAAATGAAATTTATGTGATGTTCGCCTTGACTCCTACATTTCATGATAATGTATGAAACACAGTTGTACTATATTCCCATAATCCACAGTAACTTCATCTTTATTGCTCTTGTTCTAAAACCTGGATATATAATTACTAAACTTCAAATGACCTAGTTACGATATCGAAAGACGGTTATCTGTAAAAGGTGTGTTTTAGACCTACAAGATATGCTAACTACTACTTTACATTGTTATCTTCACGCACTGTAAAATCTGCATATAATGACGTGCTGTTATAATGCGGTGTCATCACCAGATTACAAGCCATACTTGTTCAGATGAATTATTATGATTACAGATAAGATAGAATTGCATTTTTGTACCCACCACCTATTTAACTGACCTACCTAACAACTCTCAACAGTTTTCAGTCCGTTATTTATTAACTGATATGTATGCAGTATCTTTCTTGCCCAAACCGCACCGATTGAGATTCAAAAACTGAAGGATAGCAAACTATGGCTACAGGTGGTTCGACCAACCCCTAAACATTTTAATTATGTATGGAACCTAAAAAAAGACAGAGATGAGTAAATTAGATATCGTGAATACAGGATTTCAGCGCTAAGAGCTATACCAAAAATCTGACTTCTGGGTTTTACTCACTAATTAGTGGCTCTATGTGATGATTAGATGTATTTGAACCATTATACGAACTAGGAATCCCAGAAACAACGCAATTATGACCAAATAGAACTAAGTGGGTACTAACGGCCGTATTGTATTTAGAATTCAAAAACAGTCAGACATCAAGTACAAGGGAATCATTAGTTCATACAAACATCGCAATATACTAACAGGTTCGACAGCATTTGTGAAATCTTTCAGTCATTTCATACATACTAAGAAAGGTACTGTAGATCTGTTGAACTTTCACAAATGCTGTGTCTCGAGCTAATGATTCAATGCATGCATCTGTAGACGACTGACTGACAGATCTATATTAATATAATATATTGGAGTGACTAATGGCTCAAAAAGTACTGTAAAGATCGATAAGTATAAGACAAGCATCAACAACCTGAACTTCTCCAGGTATACGAGTGATCTTGAATTTCAGTTTGTGATTGTTTCAACGTTATGTTTAGATGCACATCCATTACTACAATTAATTTTTCAAAAATCATGGTTTCTGACAATTTTGTAAGCATACTTATTAATCGGCTGCTAAGAAAATTTTAAAACTATTTAGAGTGTGTAGAAGCCCACTGTATATATCATACTCGTAAGGGTGGGATACTTTCTGCTAATACTACTACATCGTTCGTACTAGTTTCCACTAACTTGTTAGGGAATCTTTTACCTCATTAAAAGCCTATTATCACCTCTTTTGATAAGTGAAAGCTATTTTTCACTGATCATTTTTGTTTTTATTCCTTGAGGAAAGTGAAAGTTTAAGGTTCAACGAATCAATACTTGCCAAAAATCAGAACACTTGTATTCCCAAGCTCCCAAGTTTGAAGGAATTTCGGGGAAATCTCCAAAATGTGCGTTGTGCATTATTGCAGATTGACATTTCATCAAAATTGCACTATTGGACCTTTAATATTAAATTACAATGAAGAAATATTAATTTTAATGAAATAATGACTTCTGGTCACGAATAGTCTACCGAAGTTGAAGTTTTGTTTTAGTGCATCAAAAAGACACGAGACAATGATTCGTCAGCTTTAAACTACTTTTTCAAATTCTCACGCCATGTAGGTGGGTTATTTGTACTGTCCAGAACTTTGATTACTGCTTTTGTTCAGTCTAACTTAAGTCAATTGTCTCTTTCAGAATAATAATTTACAGCTTCATAAGATTGCTAAAAGGCGGGCTAAAGCCGCCAGAGACTTGAGGTTGATGAGCTGTCCCAAATCAACCTTTTACAGAAGGTTGAGGAAGTTAAAAGCTGAATTCATCAAAAAGTATCAGTTAACGAGCAATGACGATGAGAACGACAATTCAGTTGTCACAGAAGTAGGGACCACCGCAGTTACAGAGCAGTGTAACAGTATTGTCTCACAAACACCCACTGCTTCGTGTAGTTACATCCAGTGTTCTGCCAGTACAGCCGACGGTAGTCTAGCTTTATTTATTAACAAGTTATAGATGATGTAATTTCAGAAATGTCTTCACCCATTCATCTTTCAATGAAAAAACAGCTAGACAGAATTGTAAATGAGATGATGAAAGGAGGTGACATAACCGTGAAAATGCCTGACGACATTCTAGACCTTCTTTAAATGCACATTCTAGAACTTTCCACGTCCATCAAAAGTGTTCTACGTCGCTGCAACAACGTGGAGCACAAAATTCTGGGAACAGGAGTCTACTACCATCTAGGATTGAAATCGAGTTTGATGAGGACTTCAGAAAATTGGCTGCGCAAGACAACTTTCATTGAAATGAAAGTCCGACTGAACTACGACGGCTTATCTTTGTTTGAAAGCGCAAATCAACAGTTGTGTCCAATCCTAGTTCGCTTGGTAGCTCCTTACTTAGTAAACCAAAGTCTCAATAGTTAATAAAACTGCAAACCTTTCAACTGAATAACTAGGAGTCAGTGATTGGAATCTTTATGAGGAAACATTTCTCTACCTGACAATTCTTTCACTCTTTTCTTCCGATCCCGAGCTCCCAATTTTGGGGAAGCCGCCACAGTAAACTTTGGGAAAATAGCATCTAAACCCCAAAATTTACTCAGATCTGAAGAAATTCCCCAAGATTTCCCCGAAATACCCCTAAGTTTGAAGTTTTTCCACGAAATTTCCCTAAACTTTTGTGAAAGTCATTTCACTCTGGATGTTTCCCCAAAATTTCCTCAAACTTGGGAGATTGTGATATGATGATCTCAAATAATCATGACATAATAGTGACTTCCCATGAGTTTTGCTGACAACCGTCTTTCACCCACTTCATATAAACTCGTAACGTTAGTACTATCGAGAAAATCATCGCAGAATGAACATATACTGCTATGTTTGTAGCGGTTACGAATCCATCAAGACTGCGAACGGAACAAAGACTTCAAATGGTTCAAATGGTTGTGGACGGAATAGAAGAAGCTTTGGCTTAACGGGCGTCTGTGTCTGGTAGCAGGTGATCACCAATACCTCCAGTAAGGAACCTGGGTATGTTCACAATGAAAGAGGGAAAGGAAATTAGTAAATCATAGTGTGATACTATCCTTAATCCTTAAGAATAGATGAAGTTGCCTCTTGAAGGACTCCTGGTAAGTCACTTGGACTAGCTCGGGCGGCAGTGAAATCCAGCATCTGACAACTCTTAAGGAGTAGAAGTTGTGTCAACAGTCCGTTCTGCTATGTTGTGTCTCCGATTCCTGAGTGTTACCCCTTAGGTTTGTATTGGAACTAAGTTAAGTAGGTGTTTGAGAGGATGTCCAGAAGTGTTGAGGATACTGTAAGCCATCAGCAGGTCACCACTAAGACGTCTATACTTTAATGGGTAAAGGTTAAGTGATTAGAGGCGCTCTTCATAAGGTTTAAATTTGAGTCCTTGAACTGATCTCGTGGCTCGCCGTTGGATACGCTCCAAGGTGTCCTTATCCTCTTGGAGTGAGGGAGGAAATACTATGTTTCGGTACTCTAAATGGAGACGGATAAAGCTATTGAAGATTATATGAAAAGTTCTTCCGTCAAACTGGCCAAAAATGCGCTTCAAATTTACCAGTGCACGGTTTGCTCGAAAGGCATTTTTGTCACAGTTAAATGATGTCAAACTTCCCCCCTACAATCACGATTGGTTGTCCATCTGTCCACCGCAGTCAGCAGGTTGGTTATACAAGAATGACCCTTCCTGAAACCATGCTGTTTTGTTTACAAAACGTTTAAGGATAATAAATAGTCGTGCAGACCATCGCATATCAGGCACTCCATCATTTTTGAGGGTATAGAGAGAGTGTGAGAACATTAAGCTAAGCGGTGTTGCCATGATTGAAGCTGCTTCCCTCAATATAGCAGAATGAACTATATCCGGACCGGGAGAACTGTCTTTTCTTAAGGGCTGCAGTTTCCGGAGCACAAAGTCAGCGCTCCTGTGCAGCTGCAGATGAAGCTTTCACCAGTATAGTTTATGTGAGTCGGTTGAAATGTCCGAGAGTATTGTTCAGCCAAAAGGTTAGCGGCGTCGCCACCGTCGTTGGTCGGGCCTTTAGGACCTGGCAGCTGGGAAACTTCAGTCATGGCTTGACAAAGGGAGGCTACATAACGGAATAAGCTTTTCGGATTGGAGACAAACTTATCCATAAGCTTTGTCTCGTACTGAAGCCTGTCTACTCTTATAGCCTTTGTGTATATGTTCCTTATATGCTTTTATCGCCTGTACGCACTGTTGTTGTCAGTTCATTCGTATTCTGCCTAACAGTGCCTTTGGCGGCTTAGCAGGCAAAGAGTGCGGTTCT